TGCGCAGGACAGGCCTTCTTCGTCTTCGTCAGCTTGGAGGCTGAAAGAGTCGTCGACGAATTGCAACATAATCAGGGACAGGGGCAAGGCAGGTTCAAGCGGCGGCGGTGCCAGCGCCACTGGCTCCGCACAGGCCTTGCAGGCATCCGCCATCGCTCTCGCCAGCGCGCCGAACAAGTGCACCCCAGCGCGCCGGCCTGGCTCAATGCCGTAAACTAGGCTGGTCGCGATACGGCCCAGAAGGGGCCCGATGCGCACGCGGATGCGCTCTTCGCCCAAAGACGCCGCAGCGGCTAGCCACCGCCAGCCTTGGAGGCCAGCCTGGCGAAGCTGCAGCAACATAGCATCGTGCCACGCACTGTCAAAACCGTGGAGCAGATCAGCCTTCTAGATGGCAGTGCGCACGCCCAGTCGCTGCCTGAGCTGCAGCGCCATCAAGAACCCCGCGGCCATGAGAACGGGGTCATACAGCCCGCCCCGTTGCTCCTGGCCAGCGAACTGCTCCAAGAGCGGCCTGGTCACCGACAGCCAGGCAGCATCCAGGAAGCCTTCCAAATCATCGACGTAGCTGATCGGGCGAATGCAAGAGAGATCAGTGACAACGGGCGGCCCCCTCTTGCGGACGGGCCAGACTTCGCGCATCCAGCAAGACAGGCTGAGGCCCGCCACCATGGACAGGTTGAGGATTGCCCAGGTTACTAGCGGGCCAGCCGACCCCAATACCTTCGAGGCGGCTCGGGGGAGGCGCAGGGTGCGGCTGCGGGCCTGGGCCTCCTGCGTTACCCGACTCACGAGCGTGAATGGGTCCCCAGACGCGGCTGCGGTTTCACGCAGGGCCGCGGCTTGGGCGGCCCGAGCGTTGGCTCGCACCGCCTCCGTGAACGGCGGCGCCCCTGGCCCTGCGGCATCGCCGCGCTGGAGGATAGCGGCTGCCACGGCCTGCAACGCATCCTCGGGCGCCAGCCGCTCGCCGGTGTCCTCGTCCGAGCTAGGGCTCCCAACTTCGCGCTTCGCGCTCCGCGAAGCGCGAATAACTTCGCGCCCTCGCGCCGCCCCCCCAAAGGGAGAAAAGGAGGACGAGGAGGAGGGGGAGAAGGAACGAGGACCGCGAAGCGCGAAGCGCGAATAACTTCGCGCCCTCGAGGGAGCCCTTGCCGAGAGGGCGAGCTGCAGGGGCTCCTGGGGCTTCAAGAGTCCACTGGAGCAGCTGTCGGCCTCCGAGCGAGAGGATGCAGCCAGCTCGAGGTAGCGGGCGTTGGCCTGGCTTCGCTGCGCGGCCCGCCCAACCACGAGCTCGTCTTCTGGCGCCGGGAGTCCAGCGTCGGGGGAAGGGAGGCCAGGCTGCCGCCATGACGCGTCGTTGGCCGAAGTGCCCGGCGATCGTGTAGGCCACGGACCGCCACCAGACCGCGCGGTCGAGCATGGCCTGGCGGCTTCCCCGCGGGGACCCGGCTGCCGTCGAGGCACGCAGGGCACTGCTTCTCATGGCCGCCCCTGCCCAACCCCCGAAGAACAACAGCGTTTGCTCGACCTTCCGCAAGGCCAGCTCACGCTCGGGACCATATCCCCAACGGCTCCGACCCCACCACAGCAGCCAGGCGGGCGCGGTCCCCAAGCACTCCCTTCGGCCCGACCAGCACCACCTGGAGGCGCACAGGCAAGGCGGGCGAGGAGGCGACGACGTCAGTGATGGTGCCAGAACGGTGCGTGGACACTCCTGGCGGGTTGCGCAAGACAGCCCCGAACCCAGCTGCACTTGTGAGGAGCTCCAGGACCTCGCGGTCCAGCGGGGCCTCAGACGGGATACTGGTCGGGCCCAGGCCGGCAGCGCAAAAAAAGACAGGGCGCCAGCCAGAAAAGCGAGGGCGCGCGCTTACAGTCGGCCTTGAGATTGGAGAGGACACGCGAGAGGACACAAGACCCTTCCGAGGGCCACATCGCCATTGGAGTGTAAGAGGGCACGTGTCGCGAGGCACATCCGGGCCGACTGTATGGCATTCCACTCGCCCGGGCGCAAGTGCGAGGAGTTCCTCCGGGCGGCAGGCCCCGCCGTGCGGCGGCGGCGCGCACACGCCGAGCAGCAAGACGCCCGGGCCATCCTTGGCGGGGAGCTCGCACCGCACCGCGCGGGAATCACCGACAGCCAACACTGACCACGCTCTCTCGCGCAGCGGAGTGGAGATCAACAAGGCAACGGTCGCGGGCCCGATACAACGCTCGCCGCGGAACTCGTGGCCCGACCAATCCGGCCAGGGGATCCCAGGGGCCAAGCGGGTCTCCGAGATTACAGCGACGGCAACTCCCGCCACCTGAAGACCCGAACATATTGCAGCGATATGGCATTCGTCGCTTTCAACCGCTGCCCCAAAAGAGAAAACACCCGCAATGTTGAGGGCGGTCACGTTGGCAGGCAGTGGGTCGTGCGCCGGGCTCGCACGAGGGCACTCGGCAGCAGGCAGCCCCCCCCCCCCATGGGCAGAAGAGTGCGTTGAGGGGTAAGCCGGCAGCCAGGCCTGCTGCACGGCGCTCGACGCAACGCAGCATCGCGAAGATTGCCGCGTCAAACTCCTGGAAACTCTCCCAGCCCTCGGGGACCTCCCCGAGGCCGTGCGGGGGCGATGGGCAAGTAGCGCCCGCACGTCCCTCATCAAGCATACGGCTGTCCAACGCCGCATGTCCGTGCTAGTGCTGGGCAAATCGCCCGCCGCGACCTCCGAGAGATCCCGGCCAGCGGCAACGGCGGCCTCCTCCTCCTCCTCCTCCTCCTCCTCCTCCTCCGTCTCCTCCTCCGTCTCCATTTTCTCCTCCGTCTCCTCCTCCGTCTCCTCCTCCGCCTCCTCCTCCTCCTCCTCCTCCCCCTCCTCCTCCTCCGCCCCCTCCGTCTCCTCCTCCGTCTCCTCCTCCGTCTCCTCCTCCTCCTCCTTCTATCCTCGTCCTCCCTCCTCGATCATCTCTCCCGACTTTCCCTTGTCCCCGTCCGAGGGTGGAGGAGGAAGACAAAGGAGAGGGAAGATCGGTCATCAACCTCCTCATTGTCATCCCTCGACAATCCTCGATCGTTGCTCCTCCGCCTCCCCGTTCATCTCCTGTTCTCCTCCCTCCTCCCCCTTCCCCTCTACGCTCATGCTCATCCTTCGCTCATCCGTCTTTCCTGCTCATCCTCCTCACATTCCTCCTCCTCCTCCGCCCTCATAACCGTGCTCCATCATCTCTCGCATCCCCTCCTCGCTCCTCGACCCACGCTCCTCGCTCCTGCTCGTCGTCCGCAGGTCCCAGGAAGGCCCTTCCCATCCGCACCCGCATTTTCTCCCACTCCTCCTCCTCCTCCTCCTCCTCCTCCTCCTCCTCCTCCTCCTCCTCCTCCTCATCATCATCCTGCTCCTCCTCCTCCTCCTCCTCCTCCTCCTTGTCCTCCCCCACCTCCTTCATTATGCTTCCTTATAACTACCTCCTCGCTGTCGCACGCCGAGGCCGGTCGAAAGGGCGAGCTGTGCGTTTCAGCTGAGACTTCCTCACCACGGATGACCCTGATGCTTAAACTTGAACAATTTTAATCGATGGGAGGCGGGTGGTTTTCAGAATGTGGTTCTCGCCAGAGCGCCGCGCACATTCGTTTCAAAATGTGTGCAAACTTCGCGGGTTGAGGGCGGGTCGTTTTCAAAATGCGGCTCTCGCCTCATAGCCGCGCAGATTCGTGTTAAACCTTGGAAGAGCTTCACGGATTGAGGGCGGGTGGTTTTAAAAATGTGGCTCTCGCCATAGCGCCGCGCACAATCGCTTCAAACTTTGCCGGAGCTTCACAGATTGAGGGCGTGTGGTTTTCAAAATGTGGTCCTTGCCTTGGCGCTGCGCACATTCGTTTCCAGACACGTGTAAGGACTTACCATATTGAGGGCGGGTCGTTGTTTTAATGTTGCTCTCGTCTTCGCGCCGCGCATATTCGCTTTTCACATTGCAAGAGCTTCACGGATTGAAGGCGGGTGGTTTTCAACATGTGGCTCTCGCCTAACGCCGCGCACATGAGTTCAACACTTCAAATCGTTTCACGGATGGAGGGCGGTTCCTTTTCAAACTGTGGGAAGTACTTTACCGCCGCGCAAACTCGCTTGAAATATTTGCAATGGTTCTACTGGTTCTCATTGTTAGCAAACACGCAATGCTTTGGAACCGTACAAGGTTCCCAGGGAACAACATTTACGCAGACTCGCGGTGTAGAAGTCCATGGAAATGGCCGCCTGACACAATTCAGAACTTTCATTTCAAGACTTAACAGTGAGGTTAACTCGTGGCGCTGAAATCCTGATACTGGTGTTTTAAAATGCTTCAAGATGTTCACACGGTCATCTCCTAAGGGAGCAATTCCATGATTGGAAATGACCTCTTCTGGGTGCCTATGAAGAGGGATCTTGGAGGGAGGGTGTATTTCAATATCGTTGAGAAGTTTTGGGCTTACACTGCTCTTCCGCCTCCTCCTCTTCTTTCTCCTCCTCCTCCTCCACCTCCTCCTCTTTCTCCTCCTGATCCTCCTCCTTCTCCTCCCGACCGCGCAAACGATCGCGAAGCCGGGAACACGACCAACCAACATGCAGACTACTCGTCGGAATTGCGCCGTTCCTAATTACACTCAGCCTCCTTCCTGTTACGCTGCTGAACAGGCACGGTGGCGGGGTTTGCCGCAGGCAGCTGAATTAAGTCAAGTAGGAAGCAAAGCTACGCCTGAGTACGCGGGGTCGTTGAGCGCGCGCAAGAAGTGTACGTGGGTACCCTATGTGTTTATGATTGTGAGCATGTCAAACGAGCTCGGAGCGGTCGTTCTGAGTCTGGTCGTTTTGGGTGTGGTCGTTTCGTGTAAACGAGTTTACGGCGGCGGTGCCTGTAGCAAGGGGGCACTAAGCCAGACATCGGAGATCCCCGCTCATCCCCCCCCGCTCCTCGATCCCCCCTTTAGCACCAGGCGCCCGCTGGATCTCCCTCGGCCGCGGCGGGGGGCGGGGGCGGTCCCGACAGCGGCGCGCGCGCCAGGGCGGTCCAGTCGTCCGCCTCGCCGCCCGGCGCCTCCAGGAAGGCGTTCGCGGCCTCCCAGAACTGCGCGTCCTGCAGCGGGGGCAACAGCAAGGCATGGGGTCGGGGACAGCAGAAGGGCGGGGGGCTGGGGGGGATCAGGAGGCATGGCAGGGATCAGGAGGACAAGGGGGACGAGGAGGGAGGACCCAGGGAAAGCGCACGTGGAGGTCAAAACGGCCAAGCCTGGAGCGGCGCGCAAAGCTCATGAGCGGCGCCCCTCCCAGCTCGAGGCAGCATGTTGGCCAGAGCCCAGCATCGATCCTCAAGAGAGGCAGGGAGGAGTCCCACGCCTCTCGGCGGCTCACGACCGCCCCCGCGGGGGTGGGAGGCGATGGGCGGTGCTCGGTGCTCAAGCCGGGCTGAGCCACAGACGAGACGACATATCAGTCACATACCAGCGCACTAGGTTGGTCGGTGACGAGAGAGGGCCCGAAGTGAAGAAGGCGAAGGCCTTGTCAGAAGGCGGCAGGGCTTCTCAGAAGCCCTCGCGCCTTCTGAGAGGTGTTCAGCGTTTTTGGGGAAGGTTTAGGAAACTTCTCAGAAGGTAGGGGAATTCCGAGCCTTCTGAGGAAACTCACCCCTTCTCACTTCCCCGCGGGCTCGCCGCCGACATTGGGTGCGTGATTGAAAGCGCGACGGCAAAGAAACAGCAGAAACATACGTCTACATCACGTCTCGTCGCAGGAGGGGCTCCCCAAAGCAAGGGGGCCCACAGTCCTCGGCCCTGCTCAGCACGAAGAGCCGGGCCTGCCGCGCGCGCGAGAGCCGATGCGCGCGCAGGGCGCCATAGGATTTCGACTACAACATTGATCTGTCCCAAAACCGATCGATGTGTTCGTCGAACCTTCATAGCTTTATGAACTGTGCAAGCATTTTGGCGTAGATTCGACGAAACAGCAATTTCGGGTTACATCAATGCTGTAGTCGACCTCCTAGTCGAAGGATGGAACACGAGCTCATCGCGCTGCCGTCAGAAATGCTGAAGAATCCGCGGCGAAATCCGAGCCCCACCCTCGCCGACCAACGATTCAGGCAACTCGATGGGCGGCGGGGGTAGGGTTCGGACAACTCGTCGAATACGTGGCGAAATCCGAACCCTACCCCCGCCTCCCGTCGGTTCAGGAGAATGGATAGGTTGTGGGGGTAAGGTTCTGATGCCGCCGCCCCCAGACGAAGGAACGGAGGGGCTTGTCTGGCCACGGCGAGCCTCGGCTTCGAACAATTTCCACGATCTTGTCCCAAGGAGCGGCCCGGAACCGAGACCCGGGCCCCTTCTGAACCCAAAGTGGTTCTTCGATCAGCTTCAGCTAACTTCGCGGATCGCGCCCCGCGATGCGCGGTCACCTTCGAGCCCTTGCGCCGCCGCCAAGGAGAAGGGCCTCTCCAACCCAGTCCGCGACGCGCGAAACTCGATCAGCTTCGAGCTCCTCCAGGGTGACCTATGAGAAAGAACAGTTGATGAGATGAGGCAGCGGCCTGAATCCAGTCCGGGGGGCCTGGTCAGGCCCCGAATCGGAGGCCTATAAGGAAGAGGCCTCATAATACTCGGCGACCGCACCACGCTCGAGGAGGCTCGCACCCAAGGCAGCAACGTCTCGGAGCTCTGCCTCCTCTAGACCGAACGCCCTTAGCACCCAAGGGCGGACTTCGCGGGCCCCCACAGAGCCCAAGGCTGGAGCGAGAAAACCGCCGGAGGAACCCAAGACGGCCTTAGAGAGCCCCCCCCGACGGTCCACGACGGCCGCGAGAGACCCCACAAACTGCCAACAGTGCCAGACACCGGCCCAAGAGAGCCCCAATATCGCCCTGGAGGGCTCCGAGAGGCCCAATGGACCGCCATGCCTGCCCCACAGGAGCCCAAAACAGCCCAAACAGGGTCCAAATGAGTTCCATGATAGCTCCCAAGATGCGAAGACAACATGTGTCACATGGCTGTCCTCCTTCCCCTCCTTCCCCTGATCCTCCTCCTCCTTTTCCTCCTTCTCTTCCTCCACCTCCTCACCATCATCGACATCATCAACACCACCGTCATCACCACCAGCATCACCAGCATCAGCATCATCAGAATCAGCCCCAACCTCCTCATCCTCCTCCTCCTCCTCATCCTTATCATCATCATCATCATCATCATCATCATCATCATCATCATCATCATCATCATCATCATCATCATCAGCATCAGCATCAGCATCAGCATCATCATCAGCATCAGCATCAGCATCAGTACCATCATCATCAGCAGCACCATCATCAGCATCATCACTATCACCATCACTATCACCATCATCATCAACACCACTATCATCATCATCAACATCATCGTCAGCATCATCATCATCATCATCATCATCATCATCATCATCGTCGTCATCGTCATCGCCATCGTCACCATGCAAAGCAGTATCATCAACATCAGCATCATCACCATCATCATTTACATGAACAGAATCAGCATCGACACTAGCATCATTGGTGATAGTATCATCACCGCCATCGTCATCACCGCCACCAGACCCACGTCATCATCCACGCAATCACTAGCGTCATCATCAGAAGGAACATCTGACACGTGATGTCCCTTGCCGCCAGAAACACACTAAGGCGTCATCGGTGTGTCTGCGTATGCGCCAGGTTCACGTGCACCATCACGCAACGAACGCCATCGGCAGGGCGCGCGCTCGGGAGGCCCGACGTTGCGCCCCAGTCCGCTCTCGAGCGCCTTGCAGCTGGCAGGTGATGTCTGCCAATCTTTGCCCGTGCTGCCCTCCTCACTCCCTCCGCGCCCTCGGCGCCGATGGCCCTCGTTGTGATATCTCCCTCGCGCGCGAGCATCGCCATCCTCGAACGACTAATGAAAGAAAACAAATCCGCGTAAACAGACACTGTCGGAGGTCCGCGCGGATTTTTCGGATCGGCGCTAGGCCCCCCTCCCTGGCTCGCGGAGCCTGCAAAAGGCGCCGATGGAGGCACCGCCAGTGGGTTTCCAGGGCAGACCCAAAAAACCCGCGCGGAGATTCGAAAGATTGTACTTCTGACGCAATGTGCTGCTCTTTTTCGATCGAGGAAGGAGGGCGCTGAAGACTCTGGTTCTGCCAGATGCGTCCTTGGCCCACGGTGTAGGATTACCAGGGAGGCCTCAACGGCCTCCAGGGCACCCCTCACGAGGCCTAGAGGGGTTTCAAGATGGCGCGTGAAGCTGGGGACACCATGGACCAAGACAACTCTTAGCACCACCCGATGGACGGCGAGGGCGACGAGCGCAAGCTGGCCAACCGAGCTGCTGCCTCGCGCGCCCCACAGGGAGCAGAGGCCGCCGGCCTCGTGGAGGCCGCGCAACTCCTGGGCGCGGAACCCGCGCCCGCGGCACGGCGGAGGAGGCGCCCCCCGAACCCTTGCACCGTGGAGAAAAGAATGTGACGTCCCGGTGCTCGACGGTGAAAATCGGCTACGGATTGAATAGGTCTTGCCACCGTGGCCTCCCAGAACCATCGGCATCCCAAAGTTCCCATCAGGCCTACCCCTGACCCAGACCGAAAAAGAAACAAGCCAATGCTGGCCGCTCACGGCCACCCTCGCGGAGTCAGGCAACGACGCAGCGCAGGGAGGAGGGGGAGTCGAGGGAGGAGGAAGATGAGGAGGGCAAATAGGAGGACGAGGGGTAGGAAGGGGGACAGCCAGCAACCGCCTTATTGACAAGGCGAAGGAAGGTGGCCCTCGCAGCCGGCGGCAGGGGTGGTGGGGTGTCTTAGGAGACCTCCTGCAATCCACGGAGTTTTATTGGAAGCCCCAGGGCCTCTCTGAGAGGAACGCCCTGCCCTCCAAAAGGCGCCTCCCCCACCAACGCCAGCCCTTTTGGCGCTGCCGTGTCTCCATATCCCCGCCTGGAGCGATCGGTTCCCGAACGTCTCCCGGGACGCGTTCTGTCCAGAATCGCTAATAGGAGTCCGGCCGTGGCGACGACAAACCCACCAGAGGACCAAAAAGGATTGAATCTTGACACCAACAACATGGATCCCCGTTCCTCGATCCTCCGGCATTTGCGGGTGGCAGATTTGGCTAGAAACTTACGGATGTCCGAATCAAGAATGACTAATCACTCCCTAAAAAACTTGTCTGAAACGCTTCGATCTCGCACTCCCGTCACCCTTGGCAGGATACCAGGCCCACGACATCGGTGGCCCACCAGGGCTCCCCACCATGGCCCACAACAACATCGAACATCGATCCGACCGTCGCTCCTCACGACTCGATCATCGTCGAACATGAATGCCTTTTCAGCTCTTCTAAAAAATTAGCGTGTATGAAGGAGGCGTGATCAGCGGGATGGGGGAGTCGTGACTCGTTCGCCGTCTTCGAGGCGCCTGGGCCTTCCAGGGCCCCCGGGACTGCTGGAGGTATGACATTACATTAGAGATACCACAGAAGAGTGGGCAAAACGGTCAGCATTGTCCCTGGGTGCATGGCTGAAACGGAATTCCGCGGCGCAGATTACGTTTGTTGTTGTTTTGCTTCTCCCTCCTCTCCCTCCTTCTCCTTCTTTTCCTCCTCCTCCTCTTCTCCTCATCGCGCGCGCGAATTTACATTTTAGCCGACATCTCATTGAGGCATCCGCGATAAAAAATGGTGTTGTGTGCTGCTTGAATTGTTCATGCTATTTTCAACAACCTGTGGACACTCGCCCTGGCGCTCTCGCCCCTGCGCCGGCTGCACTCCATGGAAAGTTGGGCTCAAACTCAGGCCTTTCGGGGGGCCGCCGAGGCGCCCATCCACAACGACGCCCCCGCTCGATGCCTCCACCTTTTCTACTCGGGGCCGGAGCTCTTGCTCGTCGCCGAAAGCAAACTTTCCAACATAAACCGCCGCTCCCGCTCCATACATCCCAGCATCGCACTCGGGACCAGTGCGAACGCCTCGGCGCCGCAAGCGGCCCCCCGCCCGAAGACAACGACTCTCCTGCTCGTTTCTTCCCCCGCTTGTATTCAAGACTCCCACAGGCCCTGACGTTCCCAGAGTTCCTTGTTCAAACTTCGTGATTGTAAGACAAAGATTGTTGCGCGCCCTACATCCGCCGCGCTGCTCTCGCAACTGTGCCGGAAACATTTCCTCCGAACATTTGGGCTCACGCTCAACCGCTGCGGCTGCGCGCCGAAACGGGCCCCGAACAACGACCAAACCGGCTTTTTCACTTGGAGCTGGTACCCTTGCTCGCCGCCGAAAGCCAGCTTTCCAACAAACCCAGCGCTCCAGCTCGATACTTCGCTGCTTTCTAATCAGCACCGTCGCCCCCGCCTGGGCGCCGCAGACAGGCACCCTACAAACAAGGATATTTCCGCTCGACACAGCCTCCGCTTTTGTTCAACCTGGCCGCGGTCATCGGCAACGCCCCCAGCGCCGACGCCGACCGCCATGGCCGAAACTTCGAGGCGACTCCAGCGGTGGCGACGAGGGCCTCCCGGGAGGTAGAAAACAGGCGACAACGAGGAAAGGGGTAGCGGTATGGGACGTGCCCCTTCTCCAGGAGAGCCCAGAATCGAATCGACAAGTCGAATCGGCGATCGAAATGAATCGGATCGGCGGAAATCGGCAGCCGAGTCGGAAAACGTCGAATCGTCGGAAATCGGCAGGCTAGTAGGCCTCCAATGAGAAATCGGAACCCAAATCGGAATGCCAAGTCGAATCGATTCGGAATCGGAATCCATCGAAATCGAATCGAATCGAATCGGAGGAATCGAAGCGAGCCCTGCTTCTCCTCTGAGGAATCGGCATCGATCGACATCGAATCGAAGCGAGCCGGAGGCATCGAAGTGAGCCCTGGGAGGGCCGCGCCCCCCCGCGGGGCCGCCGGCTCCTCGGCCACGAGCGGCGGGGTGAGCGACACGCGCACGAGGCCCAGGCGCGCCTCCGCGCGGAGGGGGGGCGCGGGGCCGCGCGCGCGGCCCCATAGGGAGCCCACAAAGGACGTACGCGCCCAGCTATGTACACGAACACGGCTCCTCGGTTCGCGAGACCGGCCGCGTTATACGAACATTTGTGCAATGCGTGCTCTCGAAACCAGCGTGGATTCATGTACATGTACGTCCTTCTTTCGCTCCTGAACCCCAGGCGGGGGACGGCGCGGTCGAAGCGGGGGACGGCGTGGTCGGCGACTCCGAAGGGGTGTGGTTTGCAGAGGGCCTGGTTTGCAACCCGCACCCTGGGGGGCAGCCCGGGGCGCGCGGGTACCTCGGTTGAGTTCTCCGCCGCTCCGCGAGGAGGCCCAACGAGGACAGCGTCGCGTCCCCAGGCCCCAACGGCTTCAGCAACCACACCTTCGCGTAACCATACCCATCTCTGTTATCGCAATAGTAAGACCTGGTTCAGTAATGTGTACATATATATATATACACATATGATATGCATTGGGGGCGATCGCCTGGGTCATCCGCTAGGCGGGGCACGTGCTGGGAGTTCGCAACTCCGTCTGCCAGCGTTTCTGCCAACGGGGGGGGTGGGGCACGGCCAGCGGAGGGGTGGTCACTGCCAACGGATTGCAAGGGCTCCCAGCTTCGCGCTTCGCGCTGCGCGAAGCGCGAAATGCGAATAACTTCGCGCTCTCGCGCCGCCTCCCAGTGGAGAAGAGGAGGAAGAGGAGGAATCGGAGCGGAACCGCGAAGCGCGAAGCGCGAATAACTTCGCGCCCTCGAGGGCGCCCATAGATTGGGAGGGGTCACTGCCAGCGGAGGGGGTGGGCTCTGCCAGCGGACGGGGGGAAGGGCTGCCAGCGGTCCGGGGCCGACGTGTGGCACGACGTGCGCGCTCGGAGACTCACCCGAGAGAATTGCGACAATCGCACGTTTTCTGCGGTGTTTCGATTTTTGAAGTCGATCGCCGTGCGAAGCTCTGCAACACGATTGCGCCCCTGCTCCACGCTCATCCTCCATCCCCCATCCGCCCTTGTCTCTCCTCCTCCGTTTGCGCCTCCTTCCTCCTCCTCTTTCCCTCCCGACGTCGGCGGTGCCGCCATCTTGGTGACGTTGCATTGGCGGCGTCAGTTGCATGGACGGGGAGGGCGTCGGGGGGGAGAGGGGAGGGGAGGGGGGGAGGGGGGATGAGGCGGATGATGATGAGTATGATGAGGACGAGGTAGAGGTGAAGGCGGAGGAAGATGACCAGCATGGGGCGGACGGGAGGGGGGGGGATGCGGGATGAGGCTGCTGAGCAGCAGCAGCGGCAGCAGCAGCAGCAGGAACAGCATGACGAGAAGTTAAGAAGGGATGGGGAAGATGATACGGAGGCGCGTCGGCGTGGCCAGCCCCCTTTCCGCCCCGTGAAACATCGCCGCCACCGTGACCTCCCCTTCAGGACTGGAGACACGCCAGCCGGACACTTTAGTGCACATGGGCCCCCCCTGGTCACAGCCCGGCGTGCATAATGCCTCCGTGCGGGGCTGCAGCGATGTGGGAGCCCGCCCCCCCCTCCCCTCCCCCCGGGGATGCGTTCCTCCCGGGGGGAGTCGTCGTGATGCCGCCATCGTGGGCAATGCGTTTGTAGGACTGTGGCATGACGTTGGTAGCCCCGGTGGTCGTCCGTTGACAGTACGCTGGCAGACCGTTGGCAGTGCGTTGGCATTCTGGTGACAGGTTCCGTTGGCAGGCCAGTGACAGGCCGTTGGCAGGCCGTTGTCATGCAGTTGGCAGGCCGTTGGTCGGCCGCTGACGTGCCACTTGCCGGCCGCCGACATGCTGATGGCCAGCCGCTGGCAGGCCGCTGGCAGGACGTTGGCATGCTGCTGGCAGGACGTTGGCAGGCCGCTGGCCTGTCACCGATGATAAGTGACACTGACGCCCTGTCAACGTCCTGCCACCGTCCTGCCATCGTACTTCCACCGCGTTATGCCGTCGTCTCGTCACCGTCCTGCCACCGAACCTGTCATTGTCCTGCCATCGTCCTGCAAGCGCCCTGTCATCACACGACCAACGGCATGTCACCGTCCTGTCGGCGCCCTGCGGGCGTCCTGCTGAGTCCAGTCGCCGTCCGGTCAACGTCCTGTCCTCGTCCTGCGTCTGTTCGGGGATGGACAGACCTCCCTTTAGTAGAACGTGGTTTAGTGAAAACGACCTCGGGCCCAAACCTGGCGGGCGCAAGCCTGGAAAATAACGGCCGCGGCGCCCTCTCGAGAACCGAAAACAGACAATTCACTAATCGACGTGTCACTGTTGGGGATTCTGTCCACCTCCGATCTGTGCTTTCCCCGCCTGGCTGACGTCATGCCACCGCCCTGTCCGCTTATCACGGGCCTCTGGGTCGACGACGGCGTGGCCGCGAGAGGGCCCCAGAACGCCCCACGACCCAAAACACTCCCAAACAAACACCCAAGATGCACCCAACCGACAACGTCGACGACGCGTCCGTACGCGTCCGACGCCGACGACGGCACGTCCGTCCGACGACGATGGCGACGCTTCGGCCCGACGACCACGACGAGCCCGTACGACGACGGCGACGGCGCAGTCGACAACGTGCACGCGCCAACGGCCGCGGTGCCGATGCTGCCGCCTCGTCCTCCTCGTCCGTGTTTTTGTTGGGGGGGGGGGGTCGGGCCCGGGCGGCGACGCAGCTCGGGGAAACTAAACAACCGACGGCGTCCACTGACAGACACGCGTCGAGATTGGCGGCGTCGACGTCGCCACACCCCCGCACCTCCCCACTCCCCTCGTCGCGGCACTATTGCCGGCGTCGTCGATCGCCATCGATCTGTAGCCTTTGCGACGAGTGTCTCGCGCCGCACCTCGGGCCGCCTTGGGCCCCCCCTGCCGTCTCCGTCTCTGGCTTCCCCGAGGGAGGAGCAGCAGGAGGCGAAAGCTGCCACGAGGTCGGAGTTACGCAGATTCGCACGGCGATCGAATTTTCTGCAAATCGAAAGCCCGTAAAAAACGTGCGGTTTTCGCAACTCTCCCGGGTGAGTCTCGGAACGCGCATGTCACGCAACACGCCAACCCCAGACCGCTGGCAGAGACCCCCTCCTTCGCTGGCAGAGCCCCCCCCTCCGCTGGCAGAGACCCCCCCCTCCGCTGGCAGAGACCCCTCCCTCCGCTTGCAAAGAGCCCCACCGACGGTGGCAGAGACTCCCCACGGGAGGCTGGGGTGGAATTGTGACAGGGGTGCAGATTCCCCTTGTAGTCCCCGCCCAGGTTATCCGCCTGGGGGTGCGGGGGCGGCGGCGACCACTAACCCAGCCTGTTCGCATTGGCCAGCCCCACGTGGGCCCGCGCGCGCCAACACTGCGTAGCCCCGTCGGACCTGCGTAACCGACTAAATCAGATTATCCGGGGGGGCGGGCCCGATACACCGGGTTATCGCCGGACCCACAACAACTCTCTCTACAGGGGGGCGCCCTCCCCCGCCCAATTTCCACTTACCAGAACTGCCGTCACTCGAAGAAACCCCAACTGCGGCAGACATGGTTCAGTGAGTACTGATGGGCTCTTCTCAATCTAAGTAGGTCTCCAGAGACCCCACCCCCGGATAATGGGCAAATGATTTTTTCTATCGGGAGCTACTTGAGGGTTGCCGAAACCTAACAAATCGGCAAATACAGACTCCGCTGCCGCCGCCGTCGAAAAGAAAGAAAAAGAGGAAGGGGGGAGGAGGAGGATAAGGACCGGGCGAACCAGGGGACGCGCAGAGTCCATTGCCAGCCAAGAGCCTTGGGGGGGGGGTCTGGCTCCTGAGATTACCCGGGGCCCTCCCTGGGTGTGTCCGATTCACGACACCGGCCTTCGAAAACACATGCTGACCAGCATGGAACCCGAGCTCTGTTCACCCTCACAAGTGGCAATGGGCGGCCACGGGCGGCCACTGGCCAGAGCATGGCGAGTCTTCGGGAAATCCCCCGCGAGTGGCAACGGCCAGGCCAATGAGAGGGTGATATATATATATATATATATATATATATGTGGGAGCCGACTATTTCACTTTATGTTAGTGAACGGCGCATGTCAAAACATCTACTAATTGCACCACGTAGGTCAAGCCACGAGAATTGTGCCACCTAGCTTGCACCAACAATCTTACGCCACGAAGCGTCCATAACATAGTTTGCACCACGTACGAATATGTTTTCGCAAGAGAATCCATGTACCACCCTCCCCCTGGCAAGATCGCCCCTTCTCCCTCCCGGGGACACTGCAAACTACAACATATGATTTTTTGTTTAGGGAGGAAAAGAAAAAACGTCCCTACCCTGGGTTACAGGTGCGCGGTCTGTAAACCTCCTGGGAGCTCCCAAAGGCCAGAGAGCCGCTAGGAAGCCGCGCGACACGCGCGAAACGCAGCGTTTACCCTGTCAGCCCACAGGAGGTTCAGCGAACAGCGCCTCGTAAACCAGGGTCGGGGCGTTTTTTGTAATCCCTTGATTTTGATCGCTCATTTTAGACATATGAACCCTGACCAGGCCTGTGTCGCCCCCACTACCCCAACATCCCTCTCGCATATGCCAGAAACTCATTGCGCCCCCCCCACCCCCTGCAGCAAATAGAACAGGTCCACACGCGCGCACATGTCGAAATCACACCAGCACATCCGTGCTGCAAGCATGCTCCACTACAAGTGTCAATCACTCTCAAGTTTGTCAGCGAATGCTGGCAGCATGGGAACACACATGAGCGTAACCATCTCGTCCAGAACCCGCATGTTCATCTCACCGCGTGGTGCATCCGCGTTGACTTAGCATGCGCCCAGTGCACGCACCTGTATCATGCGCGCGCGCCGCCACGCGGGCGTGTCGAACTTGTCGAAACCGCAGGCTTTCACCAGATTCCGATATCGAGTTTTAGGAACACATGACAGGCCGCATGTCTCGAAAGAGAAGACTTGCCATTGTCATGGATTTCCAGCATCGGCACTGTAATTGGCCATGCCGTCGTCGTCGTCACCATCGCTACCACCGTCGTTACTATCATGTTCGTTGCCGCCGCGGTCGGCCTCAAAATGATACCGCGCCCGCACGAGCCACCGACCCGCGTTGAAGCGCGCCCGCGTGCCAGCATGGCTTTCAAGACGCGCTGGGAAGTACCGATCGGCAAGTGTCATCGTGCCCACATCAGCTGAACCAAACCAGGTGGTCGCCTTGCCCGCGAGCGTTCGCGCACCAGCGTGGCCGCAAAGGTGCGCTATCAAGAGCCAATCGGCAGCCGCGATCGTGGCCGCATAATTGTAGCTAGGTAAGTTGCAGGTATGATACCGAAATTGTTGCGCGTCCAGTGCAGTTGACAACTCAGGAACTAACATGAATTAACTACACCACGTCAGAGTGAGCGGACAAAACGCCAATTCACTGTCGCTGGGTGCGTGGCTGAAGTGGGGGTCCACGGCGAAGATTATTCTTGTTTTGTTGCGTCGCCCCCCCCCCGCCTCCCCGCGACCCACCCGCGACCCGCCAACGACCCACCCGCGACCCACACGCGACCCATCCGCGACCCATCCAGCGACTCACCCGCGACCCACACGCGACCCATCCGCGACCCATCCAGCGACTCACCCGCGACCCACCCGCGACCCACCCGCGACCCACCCGCGACCCACCCGCAACCCGGCCCGCGACCCACCCACATTGCTTTAACGGAAAATCGGCGCCTGCGGCGAGCTCGTTGTATTATTTATAAAAAATCTAAAAAATGGGCGCCTGCGGCGGGCATCTTCAGAGCCTCGCAGACTGCAGACGTCCCCGCCGCCCTCTCACTCTTATCCGCGACTGCGGGGTGCTACGGTATTTCCTTTGCGAATTCAGTGCGCAAACTCAGATCTTCAGGTCCCACCTGGCCAACATTCGCGAAAGAAGAACTTAGAATCCGGCAGACGCACTCGTCACCGCTGTTGGACTGCCAAATGTGGCCAAGAGCTTCTTGCAAGCCCCCAGGGCCATCGGGGGGAACAAATAACTTCCAGTGGGACACGTGTTCAGTGGTCGGCCTCTTTTGCTCGATGCGCCTGGTGCACATGGGAGATCGAAGCGATACTGGCATAGCTGCTCCACGGAACTCTCTGATGGGGTCCTGGGGCACACAAATAATACACACAAATAACAGGATTCCCTTGGTTTCCCATGTATTATGGGTTCTTGTCTTCCCTCTCACTTCCCATATTTTCCTATTTTCTGGGGGAATCGATGATTGATTGTGTCTGTGTGTTTTTTCCCTCCTGACTCTCCCTGGGTGCATCCAGGCCCAATTTCCGAGGCGAACCTGCCCGTGGCGACGTCGGCGCTCACCAACCACCTCTTCCGGCGCTGCAGTCGGCCCCCGGGCATCTCGTCGGCTTCCCGGGAGCCAATTTTACTGCATGACCGTCCTGGGGCCGGCAAAGGACCTCAAGAGTTAGTGCTAGAACGACGGTTCACACTATTCTGCTGCAGCGAGGGCGGACGACAACACGTTCGGATACTTGGTGGGCCGCGACTTGACCAGGGGCACACAACTGCGGTTAGGGAAAGAGGAGGGCAGCAGCGGAGAAGGAACGCGGGAGGAAGCCTCAGGCGCAGAGAATCTTCGCCACGAGGAGTGCGCAAGCCGACCCAGGCACCGGAGACCCCGAAAACAACGAACAACAAGCCGTGGCGCTTTTTGACTTGCGACGCCTGGATCCAAGATCAGTGAGCATCGGATTGTGAAATCAGATCGAATCGGAGTGCGCGTCGGTTTGGGCTGCTCGGCATGGAATTGACATCGAGTTGAATCGGCTGCGCCGGAATGCACGGACGCACCATGCAAGCATCAGGCCACATCAACTCTGTGGGGAATAACGGAATCAAATCGGATCGAAATGAGCGAAAACAGATATCGATTCGGATCGATCGGATTGAAATGAACCCTGGGATCTGAGGGAACGACGCGCGTGCGGCTGGGGAAACTAAAAAGGTACCGATACTACTATTCTGCAAAGCTCTTCTGGGGCCCCAGGCGCGCTCTGACCAGAATCTCAGAACAAATCCAGACGCTGCGATTCGGGCCTACCAGGAGGCCCATGGAGGCCCCACAAAGGCGAGGACGAGAATCAGGTAGCGGTGTGGGTACCCTTTCCTTCTCTCAGTGGAGCTTGCTACTTGCGACGCCTGGATCCGAGGGAATGGCGCGCGCGCACGCGCGCCTCGGCCCACCAGCGCCGCAGCGCCGCGGCGCTCGAAGCGCCGTGCTCGTAGCAGCCGCGCACCGCGGCCCGCAGCCACGCGGAGGAGCCGGCAGCCCCGCCCTCCTCGCCGCGGGCGCCTCGGGGGGCGATCGATCGATCGAGCCTCGCTCGATCGAGCCTCGCTCGATCGAGGCTCGATCGAGCCTCGCTCGATCGAGGCTCGATCGAGCGAGGCGCGAACGGCCCTCGCCGCAGGCGCCTCGGGGGGCCAAGGATCGGGCAACACGCGAACTGAGCATCGTCTAAGCGGTCCCTATCCCCGAAGATCCTTGCGTTGCAATTTTCTCACAACGGGCTCTCGCCAAGTTTCGGGCCCAAGGACCCTCACAGAACAATCCAGACCCAAAAATGATACGGAAAGATGAAATCTAGGGCTCGGGGCGTGATTTGTCGAGATGTCTTTTTGTTGCAACGTCAGATCTCAGTGTCTGCACTGGCGTAGCCTTTGCCCCACTGGCCGATTTACCAACCTAGGTGCCACATTAAGGAGGGTGCGCTGGTGGGGCTGACATACCTTGGCTCAGTGGGGATGGAGAAATGCTGACTGGCCTGAATCACAGACCCTTGGAACTGGCGCGTGGCCGCCAGAATTGGGCGTGCACTTGTGTACGAGCGCAAAACAAGCCCCGTGGCAAGGATCAGAGAGACGAAATGAAAATGAACAAACGACGGATGACAGACGAAAACAACGCGAGTGACTGCGGATCCCTGGACCCGTAGTCCCTAACGTCGTCGAGGGACGAAGAGAGCGACGTCGGACGACAGGCGAAGACGACAGAATCGGGCACACCCTGACACGGATTACCGAGGATCCGTGAGTGTGGCGCGTGGCCGCCAAGTCCACGGATCGTGGAGAGCCCCCCCCCAGAACATGTCGCTGGTGCCGCCCGGTTTGGCGACAGGGCGCGTGGAATTTGCATGGAGGCGGGTCCGTCTCCCATCCTCTCGCCCTGATCCATATTTGCACTTCCTCGCGCGAGGCGCGAGCTAAACAATGTGTTCCGTTTCCATGTTGTTGTGTTGCTCTCTGAATCTGCGGTAATTCCATGGGGGCCTCCATAATCGACGCTCATCGACGCCAAGTATACGCTAATCGACGTTGAATCGGCGCTATCCAATCGATCACAGGACGCCAATCGATGCGAACGCACGCTAGAGACGGAACTACGAGGGTACACATGGCTCCCATGATTCGCTGTCGAGAAAAGAGCCCGAACGGTTATGTTCATGCTAATGCTTGCTCCCCGATGCGCAACATATCAAAACGAACACGGCCCGCGAAAACGAAAGAGCACCGGTTCGCTGGCGCCCTGCCCCGGGCCGCCCGACCCCGCGCTTCCCGCGAAGCGGAGCGCGGATAGCACGGCGTCGTCTCCACGCTCTCCAGCGGCCCCCCTGGCGAAGGGCAACACACCAGCCCAGCCCTGCGGTGCAGCGATTAGGCTTGGGATGAGGCGCATCGGGGGGAGGCATCGACCTCGAATGGCCGATACGTCGCCCATGTATCGTCGAGACATCGTCGATGCAGACCGCCCCAGGTATCGTCTATACATCGTCGGTGCATCGACCTGATACCAACGATGCATCGTGCATCGTCGATGCACCAGCCATTCGAAGGCGATGCGTCCCCCCTATGGCTACTCCCCCCTATCTTTGGCCCCGAAGGCCGCGAGTCCGCGGGACGCGATCATCTTCCCGGTCCTCTGCGGGGGAGGGTCGGAGGTCGGGCCACTTCGCGAGCCCCACCCGAGTGGCGAACAGAAACGTGCCTTGCGCACGATGGCATATTCGCCCGTACGCGGTGGCTTACGCGGGCCGCCTGCACGGCATGCTACACTGAAAACGAGGGCGCTTACCCGCGACCTGATGCAGGCAACTTTCGGGTCGGGCGAAAGGGGGGGATAGCAAAGGGGAGGTTTGAGAATCAGCTCACGTAGCTGATTTTCCCGGCGCCTCCCGGCGCTGGAGGCGGCCATGTATCGAGGAATGGGCCCCTCGGTGAGGCCGAAACCAGCTGCATGCAGCAAATTTCGTAACCCCCCCTTTCCCAATCCACCCCTTTCGCCCGACCCGAAACTTGCGCGCCAATGTCGGTGAAGGCGGCCCCCTGTTCTTGCGCCGCTGACACGGAATGCCCGGCGCCTTCCCGCCCTGACGTCCCCTCCTCCGCCCTTCTGTCGGCGTAGCACACAAGTGGGAGGAGACGGACGGCACCAGGGGAGCGGACTGCTATCAAGGCAGGCCCCTTTTGGAAACCATCCTACCTTGTCAGAAGCACCCTTATAAGCCTCCAGTCCCGTCTAAGAAGCCCCCTGCCTGCATCAAAGACACGCCTTCTGGATACCGCCCACACGAAGACCGTCCGACATGGTGGAGTCGGAGGATCGCGCCACATCGACGATGCATCGCCGATGGGGACAACGACGTCGGCGATGCATCGGCGACATCGACGAAAGGAAAATAGGGCTCAACATCGAGTCGCACCGCCGATCCATCGGCGATGGGGCGCAGTCCACCGACCCCATCCGATTCGACCCCCACTCCACTGGCGCCGCCCCCTTCTGCGCGGCACCAATCCCCCCACCATTCTGCGTTCTGGCGCTCTCCCTCCTCCTCCGGGGCGATCCGCACCGAAATGCGCACGCTCCCCGATCGCCTTGCCATCGTTTCCCCTCTGCGGCGTCGTCCCCGTGCCCTGGCAAGCCCTGGCGAGGCTGCACCCGTGACGCGAGAGACTTGCCTCGCAGCGACTGTCCCCCCTTATCGCGAGCCAGAGCCCCCCATCCCCATGGCGAGCCAGAGCCCCCCATCCCTTCCCGTCCCCTCTCCCTGCCCGCCCTCCCCTCCACATCTCTCCTCTCACTCCCATCCCTCTGCTCCACCTCCACCACCACGTCACCCCTTCACCCCCCCGCACTCCCATCCCTCTCCCGTCCTTCCGCCCCTCCAGGCCCTGGCGAAACAAACAGTTACCGATACCGCTACTCCCCGGACCTCTCCCAAGGTGCGTTCTGACCTGAATTTCGGGGCGAATCCAACGGTGGCGACGAGAGCTTCCCAGGAAACCCAGAAAGGCGAATACAAAGCAGCAGTAGTGGTATCGGTACAGTACCTTGTCCTCCTCTGGGACAGCACCCTCCACGACCGGCGCGAAGTCGACTTTGTCCTCGCTTTCGACCGCGACGACGACGACCGAAAGAGCCAGCCGCGCGCCTGTCTGGACCGCCTGCTTGCCGTTGAGCCGCCTCTTGGCGAGGCGGCTCTGGCCTCCGAGGCACGCGCGTCGGCGGCCGCGGCGCCGGCAGCAAAGGCGGCGACCGCCGCGACGAGGCCGGGAGCTAGTGGCGGTGGCAGCGGCGGCGGCAGTCCACTAGGGGAAATAAGAACGGGTTTTTCGGGTTCAAGGTGTTCGAACGCTGTCGTCGGTTTTCGAACATTTTCCAGTATCGGAGAGTTTCCCACCAGCTGCATCCCGTCGAAGGCGTTCCAAGGGAGCCCAGGTCGTCCCGAACGGCCGCCAGAAACCCGAGTTATGACCCGAAAACAAAACTCGGCGGCGCGCCGAAGGCGGGAACGGGGGAGGGCAGATCTTCAGGCGGCGGGGCTTCAGAAACCCGCCGGCCCTCTGAGACGCCCTGTGACGGCTTAGAACGCTGCTCAGAGGGCCGAGCTTGTTTTCCTTATGAGAAGGCCCGCCCCCCTGCCTTACTGTCTCCTCTGGGTGCACCGCCGAAGGGGGAAGACCAGTCTTAATTTCCAAAAGGTGCCTGCCAAACCCCTCCTTGGGGCCGGGCGGCCACCTGTTCACCCGAGGCCGCGGCAGCAAGGAAAAACAAATATGGTTTGCCGCCGAAGGCTTGCCTCACGGCGCGGCGAAGGGGATGGATGCAAAGAGGCTGGCAGAAGTCGCAAGCGACGAACATGACCCTTGTTGGCGCTAACACTGGTTGCGCGCACCCCGTCACCTCTCCTCCTCCTCATCCACCTGGTCCTCCGCCCGCCTTTTCGTCTTCTTCCTCCGCCCGCCTACTCCTCCTCCCCCTTCCTCCTCCACCTCCTCCTCCTCCTCCTCTTCCTCCTCCTTTCCCTTCTCCGTCATCCGTATCCTCCTCTCCCGTCTCCTCTCCCTCCTCCTCCTCCGCCTCCTTATCCTCCTACTCCTCCTCCCATGTAACGAGCCAGGCGACTCCTCCCGGAGCAATCGCTCGACGAGTCGCCAGCTGGGAAGGAACGCGATACTTGACAAATGCAGACAGCAAGCGCGAGGAAGAGGAAAAAAGGACGCCTGAAAAATGAAGAGTGGAGGGGGAAAAGTGAAGAAAAGTGGCGGAGCGGCGCTGGCTTAGAAACGGTTCAGGGGTGTAAGGCAGCTACTCGTGGCCAGCCTGGGAATCCAGTGAAAAAAAAACCAAATTGCATGATAAAATGTAAGAAAAGACGCGCTGCGAAATGTGTGAAATATGCACCCGCTGCGTAATTACGCAAACACCGCTCGCTGGTAGCGCAGTGGCACGCGGCGCGCTCGAAACGCAAATGCGCGCGCTCGCCCAGGGGCGAGCGTTCCCGGACAACTCGAACGCCTCGCTTGCGAGTCGACGACGCAACCCCGCCCAATGTGCACATTTCCGACGCCGCATCTGCGACGGCGGCGGCGGCGGCGACACGGCGGAAGGCAGACAAGAGGGGGCAGAAGCAGCAGCGCAGCCACTGACAGGAACGACGGCGCCGGGAAAACGACGACGGGGCCGATGAATCCCGCGCGCCAGGAGAAGGAGAGGGGGCACGCGCGCGACATCGCCCGGAGAATAGCGGTGGGCGAAGAGGGGGCGCAGAGGACGGAAGGGGGGGCGGCTCGAACTTGAAAGGGGGCGGCGGCTAGAACAGCCTCGGCGGGGCCGCTGACAACGGGCCCTCGGGACGAGGGGGACAGTGCGATGAGGTGAAGAAGAGGCAGTGGAAGCGGGCCCGGGCCGCCCAAAGCTACAGGCCGACTCGCCGCTGCAAAGGGCCACGGGCCACCCGACATTCCTGCGGCCCAAACTCTCACATGGCTACTGTACCATCGTCGCGCGAATGCCGATGGCAAAACGCCCTGCGCGCCCCCGCGCGCCGACGACGTCAAGAGCGCGCCGCCGCGGCCCGCGCGGCTGCCGTCGCTGCGACTTGCGAGTAAGCAAGCAAAAACGCCCCCCAAACTGCCGCCGACGACGCGGACCCCATCGCGCGCTCTTCATCCTGCCCACCGCCCTCTCAAATTAACCCCCTTGTTTCCCCTGGCCGTTTGCGCCGCGACCCCCCGCGGCGACCCCGATCCGCGGCGCCGCTCGCGTGCAGCCCAGCCCGCGCCGATCGCGCCACCGCCTCGGGCAGCAAATTCGAGGGCCCCCCAAATTGCTGCTAGATGGCCACCGCGACCCAGGGCGGCGAAAGATACACCCCAAGCTCCGCACCAAACGTCGGCACAATCGCCGCGGGGTCTCGATCGGCGCGGCCCCCGCGCGGCAGCGATTTGTTGAGGTGCGTCCGAGGTGCCCCCATCGAAGTGCAATGCACAAAAAAAACAAAACAAAAAAAAGCCCCGCGTTCGCCATCCCCGGGGGCACTCGGCGCGCCCACTAAAAATACAAAAATTAAGCGGCCGAAGTAGGCGAGACGCCCACCGACTCCGCGCGCGCATGCTTCACACATGTTTGTTTATTTCCCCAAATGTTTTGCACAACAAATGCGCAACACATGCGTTGACAATAAGCCAGGGAAGCGCCTATTGTTTTCACACCCGAAACATATTGCACGCGCGAAAAATAAACCCGCCCCGATCAGTGAAAACGCAAGGAAAAAACAACAATACATAAACATCCGAAATGACTCGTTCCCCGGGGCAGCCAGCGGGGGCGAAGTGGAATGGCGCGGCGCCCCCGGGAGGCCCGCGACGGAATGCGGCTGCCCCATTGGGCCTTGCCCTCCCCCTGCCCCGTGCCTTGGGATGAGAGCCCGGCCGCCCCCCAGCGCAGGGCGGGCGGGGGGCGGGCGGGGGCGCGGCGTCAGGCGAGGTGCGCGGCCGCGCGGCCCAGCAGATGACGTCTGCGCCGCGCCACCCCCCGCGGCAATGTACCCCAGAAAATTTCGCCGACGTGGGGCGGCGCCTCAAGGGCAATGGCCCTGCGAAAAAATGCCGCGGCCCCGAATGGGGGCTCCAGCCGTCGCCCCTGATGGGGGGGCCCACCGAAGCCCCCAACGGCGGCGGCCGCGCGCGGTGCTCGCAGGCCCCTCAAGCATTTGCCCAACCGAAAGCCGCAGTGGTGGCGGAGGCTGCGCGTCCCACTTGCACACCCCATCGCACACTTCGTGGCCCCACAAGCGACTCCGTCGAGGTCGCGGTAGCAGCGGCCGCGCGCGGCACTTGCGCTCCCTGGGCTCCGCCTAAGGCCCCAGCGGCACCGCGCGCGGCGCTTGCGCACCCCTCGCGCGCTCGATGGCCCGAATAAGAAAACCCGCCAAAAGGTCCCAGCGTCAGCGGCCGCGCGCGTACCTGGGCGCCGCTCGCGCGCGTCGCGGCCCCATGGGGGCCTTCGCCCTAGGCCCTAGAGGCGGCGGCCGCGCGCGGCGACTGCAGAACACTCGCGCAGTTCGCGGCTCGACGGGGGACCCCCCCGAAGGCCCTAGCGGCAGCGGCTGGGCGCGGCATATTTGCGCAACTGTCACGCGTGTCGTGGCCCTGCAGGGGGCTCAGCTGCAAGCCCCGACCCCGCTGGCACCGCTCGCGCGGCGGCCCTGGCCCACGTCGGCGCGCCCCTGTCACGCACTCCCTGGCTCCCAAAGAAATTCCACCAGAAACTGTGATCAGAACTGCAGATGGGCGGGCCCTTCGCCAATAATTTGTTGGACGCGCACGGGCAACGCCAGGCCCCGCGCCGCGCCAATTCATGGCGCGCCCCCGCGGCGAGAGACCCTAAAACCGAACCATGGAAGCCGATCCCGCGCGACGCTGCAGGACACATGGTCGCCCTGAGCTGCCATGACAATCGGCTTTCTCAGCAAGGCACTCGCTAAGCGCCGCAAACACCGTTTGCGCCTGAGCGCTTACACATGATAGCATAATGTCATGGACCCTACACATGTCAAATATATGCTGTTGTTCACCTGTTTCCGAAACCTATGTTACGGCTACTTTGAACTTATCCCACATACCAGCACCTATCCACATTACCTTCGTTCTAAGTTCAGGGTGGGGCGTTTCTTCCGAGAGGTTTGAGGCCGCAGCTGCTGTAGACATTGCCGCCCTGGACATCGCCACTGCGGCCACCTGATTCGTTTTGGAATCTCGAAGCGGTGCGGTGACAGACCGTGCGGTGACCTCGAAATCCCGCAAGACCTCACCGCACGGTCCGTCACCGTACGGTCTTGGGACCCCGGAGGCCCCTGTCGCCCGAGACATCCTCGGAGAACGACCCGAGTCCCAAAACCGTGCGGTGACCCCGAATCCCCACCGACTCGCCGCACGGTGTGGTCACCGCCCCGTTTGGGGGCCCCCGATTCGTAAAGGCAGCTGTGCGTTGGAGGTCCACGCTCGCCAAATGAAAGGCGCAATGGCCTCTCCCCCTGCCCGTGAGGAGCCCCTCACAGGCGTCCCCCAGTCCAACGACGGGGACCCTCATCTGGAACCAGGCGCAAGGTTCCCAAGGCGTGCGACTGGGGGCCGCCCGGGGGGTTCCACTGGGCGTGCGGGAGGTTTACGCCTTCCGCGGCGGTGGCTTCCCCGGTAGAAGCCCCCCAAAATCATATGTACCCGCCTCCCGCCACAGTTCGTGGTGCGAAAGCGTGGCGCGAAAGAGGCGAGGTTAAACAAGAGGGCGTGAGTTTGGGCAGCGCAAAAGAGAAGACATGATGCGCTGCGGCTGGTTCTCGGCACCGCGGGCCGCGGCCACCCTTTCGCAAAGGTAGCCGATGGCACTGTGTACCTGTTGCCGCCGGTGGCTGCGTTTGCGCAGTGGCTGGCATCCACGTTGCCTGGTGGGACTTGAAATGGCTGCTGCGGCGGTTGGCACAATTATGAGGGAGCTGGCTTGCATGCTGCGGGCCGCAGCCACCAAGGGTTTCGCAGTGGTGGCCAGCGGTGTGCTTTTTTACCCCCCACCTTTCTATGCTCGGTACCCGACCCCATCCACAGCTTGCGTTGCGAACGTAGAGTGTGGCGCGAAAGAAGCGTCCTCCTCCTCCTCCTCGTCCTCCTCCTCTTCCTCCTCTTCCTCCTCCACGACCCCAGTGAGCTGCGTGGCGCCACGTGGAGATGTGTCGTGCGAAATGTATACGTGTCCTCCTCCTCCTCCTCCTCCTCCTCCTCCTCCTCCTCCTCCCCTGGCTTCGTCTCGAACGCACCCAAATGGACCCTTAGCCAAGGGCGGCCAGAAGACAGATTGCGGTGGACGCGTGATCGGAAATCGGTGGACGGGCACACCCGTCGCGAAATGCGACCACGGGCGCCAGTCGTGGCAGAGTCACAGGGCGCCAACCGTAGCAACGATGAACGTGCAAACAACAAGACGTATTGGGAACCGCATTGACGCTGCGAGGTCGTGGCTCCCGGGCACGTCCGCAGGGCTTTCAAAGGTCGACGGGGAGCGGCCCAGGGCACTGGACGTTGGCGGCGGGGAAGGCGGGCAACCCAACGCCTCGCGAACACAGGCCACGTGCACGCTGGCACCCAGCGGCCAGGGTGCGGTGCACGTCGGGTGCAGGCGTGGTTCCTCCCTGGCCGGGCGAGCACGCGAAGACGCAACAAGGGGGCGGGGTGGACAGGACGGGTGCGTCGCTGCGCCCCCTCCGCCTTGACTACCTACCAAACCACCCCAACCCAAGCCGAAGACCCGAATTTCAGGTTGGGGGGGGTACGGACTTCATGTGTTGTCTCGATGTTCCCCGACCCCCCCCCCCACTGGAAATGGAGGGCAAATCGGGGCCTTCGGGTAAGGTTGGGGTGGTTTGGTGGGCGGTGACCACCCGCCCTCGCCGAGTCCGGGGGGGCGGGGGCCGCCGAGGCTCTGAAGAGAGACCGCAGGGGGAGCGCGTGGAGTTCCTGAACGAGGGGCGTGGGCTCCGCAGCCCCTTCCCCCCACAGCGCACCCGGCTCCCAACACTCCGCCACCGCCTCTTGGATCTTGGAGGTAGATTGGGCCGTCTTGGAGCCACGGGGCCTCCTTGGAACCGAATTGAGGTTTGGGTCGTCCTGGGCCGTCGTGAAGCTATTCTGGGCTGCCATGGAACTATCTTGGGCAGTCTTGGAGGCATCTTGGGGCCCCAGATACGTTTAGGACAGTCGGCTCTGAACAAGATTTAGGCCGCGGCGTGTTCAGAACCGTCGGTTCACGTCCTTCCGCACACAGCACTTGAGGATGATGGTTTTGATGCGCCGTCGAAGGCAACACCACACCGCTCACCCTCTGGGACTTCGCCTCCGGCTCCTGTCCAGGGTGTACCTTTTCCTGTGCAAGCTCTTCAGCACCGCCTGCACCCCGCACCCTCCAGCCGCCTGAGGCCCCGTCCGCCCGCGCTCTGTCTCCCCAATTAGTGCTTTGCGCGGCCCGCCTAGCTCTTAACCGGAAGAGGCTCGCTCTCGACCCGCAGACCAAAAAAGTTCAGAACCGTCGGGCCTGCACACATTGCTTCGTCGGCGGTGAGGCAGGAGCAGTCCGCTCCAACGTGTGGCCAATCGGGGCAATCGAACCGTCGGGCCTGCACACATAGACTGTTCAGAACTGACTGCTTTTAACAAGATTGTTTGGCTCCTGGGAGGCACGGCGGAAGTGAGGGCAGCGGGGATTACTTTGAGGCCTCGCGGATCCCTCGGGGGCGGCGAACTGCGCAACCGTCGCAGAGTCCGTGGACTCCTGGGAGGCACGGCGGAGGGGAGGGCAGCGATCCCGCTGACACCACGCCCCCGCGGCTCCGCCGGGGGCTGCGAACTGCGCAACCGTCGCCACTTTCGCGGGCTGCCGCAGGGCACGGCGGAGGTGAGGGCAGCGCAGGCCCCTTTGAGACCCCGCGGCTCCGTCGGGGGCTGCAGACTGCGCAGCTGTTGCCACTTTCGTGGTCTTCCTGGGAGGCGCGGCGGAGACGAGGGCAGCGGGGATCCTCTTGAGACCTCGCGGCTCCGCCAGGGGCTGCGAAAAGGGCAACCGTCACTACTCTCTCAGGGGCTCCTGGGGGGCACGGAATTAGGGGGGGGGGGTGCAGCGGGGATCCTGTAGAGACCTCGCGGCTCCGCCGGGGGCTGCGAACTGGCGCGACCGTCTCACGCTCGCGGGCTCCTGAGGCTTGAGCCAAAATGGCTTGAGCCAAAGGAGGAGGAGGAGGAGGAGGAGGAGGAGGAGGAGGAGGAGGAGGAGGAGGAGGAGGAGGAGGAGATGGAGGAGGAGGAGGAGGAGGAGGAGGAGGAGGAGGGAGGAGGAGGAGGAGGAGGAGGAGGAGGAGGAGGGGAGGGCAGCGCAGAGCACCATCGGGCCTCGCGGCTCCCTCGGGGGCTGCGAGCGGGCTCGAGCGTCGCCACTCGCCTGTGCTCCCGAGGGGCACGGCCGAAGTGCAGGACCGCGGGAGCGCGGGGGTGCTTCTGAGGCTCGCGGCTCCGCCAGGGGCCGCGGACTGCGCCGTCGTCGCAAATTTCGCAGACCCCTGGGAGGCACGGCGAAGTGCAGGACAGCGGGGATCCCTTGGAGACCTCGCGGAAGCTCCGAACTGCGCAACGATCGCCACTTATGTAAGCTCCTGGGAGGCACGTGGGAAAGTGGTTGGGTACGTCTCGGGCGATCTTGAAATTATTGGAATCCGCGCAGCACTCTAGTAATTCTATACCTGTCGGGTACTCCTGCTCTGGCTTCCTCCTCCTCACGCTTCTCCTCCACCGTCCTCTTCCTCCGCCGTCCGCTTCCTCCTCCGCCCCCCCTCCCGCCCGCAAAGCAATACGCCTCCTCCTCCTCCTCCTCCTCCTCCTCCTCCTCCTGCTCCTCCTCCTCCTCCTCCTCCTCCTCCTCCTCCTCCTCCTCCAACCGCCCCCCGGCGCCTGCTGCGCTGGAGGCCGCGGGCGAGCCCCCGTGCCTCACGGGACACCCCCCCTCGGGCGGGGCGGAGTCGCAGTCCTCGCATGGGGGGGGGGGGAGCGGCGAGGGCGAGAGGTAGAGGGAGACGGTCGAGGGGAGGTAGAGAGGGGGGGGGGGGCCAGGGGAAGGAGAGGGGAGAGGGAGAGAGGGAGAGGGGACGAGGGGAGGGAGAGAGAGAGAGAGGGAGGGGGGACGAGGGGAGGGAGAGGGACGAGAGAGGGGGAGAGGGCAAGCTGGGTGCGCAAGCGTCTTTCCTGACGTCCTGCCCATCCCTCCCATGCCTTACCATTGCGTACATACCCTCTCTATTCGCACAGTTGGATGTCGAATAGGTCAATGACCCGAGAGTTCGCGATTCCTGGTATAGCACGGCATAGCATGGCATAGAAGAGCACGGCCACAGCCGACAACGTCGCGTCGACAACGCGAATCATTTCGACAACAAGGTCAGAGGGAAACCAGACATGACACAAGACGGGAAATGCAAATGGACGGTTTGGAAAGCGGGAAGCGCAAAATGAGATCAACGTTGCAGCGGGAGCACGCGCGGAACCGAAGACAACGCTGCAGCAGGAACACGATTTGGAACAACCGAAACACGACATGAGGTCAGCGCTGCAGCAGGCACATGATTTGGAAGGACAGAGAGACAGATACTGGAGCCAACGCTGTAGCGGGAGCGCCATTCTAGAAGGACTGAAAAACGGTCGGATTGGAAAAACATGTCGTATTCGTCAACGCGGCGGCATACCGTGTAAAAAGCTATACGCGGATGAGGCAAGGACGCCTCACCGGGGACTTCGGGGGAGACAGAGGGGAGTTGTGTTCATATTGTGTAACTCTTACTTCAACAAAGAGAGGGACGAGGGGACGGAGGGAGAAGGAGAGGGAGGAGAGAGAGAGAGAGAGGCTGACCACGGGCCCGCGTCCTCTAGCCGCAGGCTGGGGCACCACAGCGTGCTCGCCAGGTCCACCCAGGCCGTCCGCTCGGGCTCCTGGCGCGGAGCCCCGCGGACCGCTCCGCTTGCTTCTGAAGCCAGGACGAGGACAAATCGAGCATCGCTGAGATCCAGCAGAGCTACAAAATGTCTCGGGCGCCGCGACCTTCTCAGAGCGTTCCGAGAGCGTTCCGGAACGCTCTGGAACGGATTCATGTCGACTCTAGCCCCGTCCGATCGCTTCCTCCGGGAGCCGAGGGCGCCCGAGGGCGCCCGAGGAACCGACGTCCTCGCACAACCAGCGGCCACCAGGATCGAGGGCGTCGAGGACTCAAGGGCTCGGGGGCCTACAGGGGCGGAAGACCTCCTCGAGATCGAGGACCCCAAGAACCCACGAAGCGAGCCCCGACGGCCGTCCATGGCGATTCCCGGGCACGAGCCCCCCCTCCCCTGACCTGCCCCAGCACCACGAAGCTGCTGCTGCTGCTGCTGCTGCTGCCGCTGCTGCTGCTCCCCCCCCATGGCGCGGGCGCGACGCGAGCGAGGTGCCGCGGGCCTCCTGCTCGGCCCACCTGCGCCGGCAGCCGGCCACTGGCCGGCGGCGTCGGTCGCTAGCGTCGTCGCTGTGCGCGTCGTCGTCGCTGTGCGTGTCATCGTCGCTGTGCGCGTTGTCGTGGCCCGTCGTCGTCGTCGTCGTCGTCGTCGTCGTCGTCGTCGTCGTCGTCCTTGCTGCTGGTCGTCGTCGTCGCTGCTGCTCGTCGTCGTCGTCGTCGTCGTCGCTGCTGCTCGTCGTCGTCGTCGTCGTCGTCGTCGTCGTCGTCGTCGTCGTCGTCGTCGTCGTCAACCGTCTTCCATCGCTCCTTATCCGCCGACTCCTCCCTGCTCCGCTTCCCCAGGGAGTCCTCGATGCAAGCCTTGGTGGCCCAGGGCTTCCCTCGGATAGCGACCTTGTCAAATGTCCGCTGTTTTCTGGCCCGAGGGTCCCCCAATCCATGACCACGGTGAGCGATTTTGTTTTCCCTGGGCGCTCGATTGTGGCTGGCTCGAGCCACGGTGTCAAAATGGCTACTTAAGGTTTTCATGGGGCCGATCCTCCAAGCGGCCCGCGATCTTGAAGACATCCCGCAAGCCCCTTACTGGTCTCAGATCATACCAAGTTGGTCTGCGTTTCGGGATGTTTCCCCGCTGGGATATTGAACGTGACCCTAAGAAAATTGGCCTCCACATAGGTTGGGCTGATGACGCGGTTGGCTTAGGCTGTGGCACGACTGGTGGTGCCTGCAGAGCTGTCCGAAAGCTCAAAGGCAGGCGTGCAAATGGTACCCTCCGTTCGGTTCGCATCTTTCGGCTTCGTAAGCGTGCCAAGTTGTGCAGTGTGCGCGAAGTGTCTTTTGGGCTTCAGAGAGCCCCCCCTCATGGGCACCCCGCGATGGCCACGCCGCCCTCCACCGTCACCATCCCGAGACGTCGCACCGCGTCCACCGCGGCTGGAATGGAATGGAATGGCGGGGCCTTGAAGGCAAGATGAGGGCCGAGGGGCCGATGTCGACGGCAAGAGACGGGCCGCCGACGGCCCCCGGGGCCACTTCGGGCCCCGCGCCTCCTGCCGAGGGCCGACCGAGACCACGGGGGCGCGCTGCGGCACCGAGGGCGGCAGGAGGGAGGCTGGCGCGGCGCGCCGGGGCCGCCGCTGGGAGCTTGGCCACGGCAGCTGCACAGGCGCGGCCAGCTGAGCCTGCGCCTAGGGTCGAGAAGGACGCGGCCGCCATCCCTGCGAAGCCGATGAGCCTCGGGCCCTGGTGCGTGACCAGAAATCTCCTGGGGAGGCGCAGGTTGAAGCCGTGGGCTACGCCGTTCCGCCAGAGCACGTCGCGCCGCAAGTTCTCGTAGAATTTGGCGATGCGCAAGAACAGACTGGCCGAGGCGAGCCCGCTGCTCCGGACGAAGGCGGCGCCGGCGTTGTTGCGGCCAGCCTGCCTTCTCACTGCCTCTGTCGGCCCTGCCCAAGAAGAAGTGGCAGTCGCGGGCGGCCCCCCAGGCCGCGCAGACTGGCTGCCCGAGCCTGCTCCAGAGGCCCATGAGAGAGGCGGGACACGGGCGATCGGCCGCGCTCCTCCTCCCGCCTTGGGGGTGGAAACCATGTGGGTGGCCATGAACTGCAGCCGCCGAGGTGCCTCGTCATTGGCCGCAAGGAGGCCCAGTAGCCGTTGCTGCAGCATGGCAGGCAGCAGCGGCATCTGCCGCGGGCGCAGCTGGCCGGTTCCGAGGCCCGCCGTGGGCGAACACCTCCTGCTGGCTGTGCGGGGCCGGTCCGGGGCGATCGCTGGGAGGGACCAGCCACTGACGTCCCAGGCCTCAGCCCCTGCGCCTGTCGCGAAACCCACCTGCTGCCAAAGGCCCTGCCAGCTGACGGTCAGCTTGTCGACCGACCCCATGCCAGCGAGGGGCCTGTCGGCGTCGGGGTCCCGAACCTGTGGAGGCGGTACCGCCTCCACGAAGCGGCGGGCCAGGCGACCTCCTCGCTGGCCTGCCTCCCGGGACAATCGCCTGCAGACCGCTGCGCAGCCTCCCCATCTCGGCGCTGGGAGCTGGCCAGCCGCTGCTGGAGGGCGGCGATGGCTCGCGCGTGCCCGTGCATGCTCACTCCTGAGTCAGGGGGGGGCTCGGCCGCTCCGAGCCCCCCCCAGGGTGAGCGTTCACCCGTCGGCTTCGGGGTGGGCTGCGGAGCCTCGGCCAACCCCATGCCCTGCAGGCCACCTTGTCGCACAGGCTCCAGGGGCGACGCGTCCGAGCCGAGCAGACCTCGGGGATCTTCTGACCCGGGTCAATACAGACCCGGGTCAGCGGGAAACCAAAAACTGCAATGCAGGAAAAAAAAAAAAACTGCAACGCAGGTCTTCGCAAACCCGCGTCAGGCAATACGCGCGGCCGCCTCGCGGCCACGAGCGGCTCGCTAACCCGGGTCAGCCAGAGGGGGTCTTTGCAGGATCCTGCAGGATCTGGCGCTCTGGCTGACCCCCGTTTGCGCTGACCCCCGTCTCGAGGCTCCCGAAGACCCATCAGGGGCCGTCGGCCGGCTTGCCTGCAGCACGGGCGCTGCCGGCGGCGACCTCGGCACAGGAACGCTTCCATGCTGGCCTGCCACCGCCCGCCATAGTTAGCTGCACTGCTCGGAAAGGTGGGGCTTCCCGGCCGAACACTACGGCACCACTGCACAGCACGCTGAGGAGAACAACCGCAAGCATTCTGTCTCTTTGCGAGGCGTCCCTCGCGTTCAGGAACGCCCGACAGGCTCGCGGTCGTCGGGATCGCCATGGCTTTGAGCCAAAATGGCTGCGGAGGCGACCGTGGCTGGTCAGGGTCCACAAGGACTGTCTGACGTCTGACCTCAACTCCTGCGGTGTGACTTGGGGACAATGATCCCGCGGTGTGGCTCCGTATCCATTTGCTGGAGTCGTGGCTGGACATGTGGGTGCCAACCACGACCCTGCACGAAAGGGTCGGGTCCTCTTGGGGTCACGTTCGTGCAAGGTTGGGTCATTCCCCCAGTCGAGCAGGTTGGCGAGCTCGAAACCCGATCGCAGCCGTGCAGGCCACGTTGTCGGACATGAGCTGGCTGTTACAATCTGCCACAGAATGGCGCAGGCCTGCCGGGAGTGAGCCGGAGCCCTGGCATTTCCTTGACCCCTTCTCGAAGAAGCCAGCCCTGATGATGTGTTCGATGTTTCGGAGCTGCTCGAGGACGCCATGGAAGATATGTTGTCGCTCCGCCGACACTCACCCCCACACAGCCTCGCTCGACCGAAGCGCGGAATGTGATCCCCTTTATCAGGGTCGAGGTCTCCCTTGCTGTCCGCAAGGACGCCTACAGCTCACCACAAGCGTCACGGGGGGGCAGTGGCCTCAGCAGCGCCATCTCGAGGCTGGCGTCCCATTTGTGCCATAGATGTGGACAGCACCCAGAATCGGTGTTCCATAGAATATGGGAGTGTCCTCGCAAACGTGGAGAACCAGCGAACGAGAAATCCGCCGACCCTGTCGGCGTGTGTCAGGGCGAATTCTGGGTCCGTCGTCCTCGGGTGTTCCTGGGAAACGTTATTTCACTCGATTTGCTCTTCCATTCCTGGAGGCTCTCTCGAGGCCCTGTTTGGCGCGCCAAGCTCGTGAACTCGAGGTAGAGGTACATCGAGCCAGGTCGCAATCGGAGCCGTAATGGAGTCGAAGGGAAGACCCCTCCATTTGCACCCCTTCTTTTCTGAAGGGGCCCCAGGACACACAAATAAATACGCACAAATAAAACTATTCCCCATATGTTCCTATATTTTCTGGGTTTCTGTCTTCCCCCCCACTTCCCATATTTTCCCATATTTTCTGGGAAATCGAGGATTAATTGTGTCTGTGTGTTTCTTTTCCTCCTGATTTTCTTCTTTAGCAGGGAGAATCCATGTGGTGCAATCTGTGTGGTGCAAATTATGCGAAGCCGCGACGGGGCGGCGACGGCGACACCATCGCCGCCAGGCCGACACATCTGGCCCAAACGGCGGTTGGCGACGAGGCGGCGACGGCGACAACACAGAAGGGGAACTGGAACACACAAATAAATACACACAAATAAAAATATCCCCCATATTTTCCCATATTTTCTGGGTTTTTGTCTTCCCCACCACTTCCCATATTTTTGCATATTTTCCTGGGAGTCGACGATTAATTGTGTCTGTGTGTTTCTTTCCCTCCTGAAACACAGCCGCTAGACCGACGATCAGGCCGGGGCGACGAGGCCGCGACAGTGCGGCGACGGCGAAAGCATAGCCGTCAAACCGACATTCAGGCCCAATGCCTTGGAGAGGGAATCAGAACCCGTAAGCGCAACCACTGTTTGGGGAACATTCTCGGCGTTTTGCGCGGGCTTCTTGGATCGACGCTGGACCCCTCCCTGGCGAGCGTAGCTTGCCAGGGGCGGCGCCGGAAGCGCCGCCAGAGGGCTCCAGCGCCCATCCACGAAGCCCGCGCAAAACTCCGACAGCGTCTGCTCGTGCCAGTTTCTGCCCCTTGGGGACGACAGCATCACAGCAATTCAGTGGACTTTTCAGGAGGTCCCCTCGGGAATGCATGGCGACGAAACGGGAGGACTGGCTCAGTCGAGTGGGGGGGGATATCGACCTGGAATCATCGATGCCACGACGATATATCGGCAACAGACCCCCGAGGGTGAATCCGCACGTCCCTGGGCGGGGTGGGGCTATAGCAGGTCCCTATCATTTATCAATGGGCGATCGGGGGTCGATGCATTCCCCCGAGCCTATCACCCCAAGAATGCCCCGCTGGCATTCGGGCCCTTGACTTGACTCTCGGGAAGCCGTTCGGGACGATTTGGGCACCCTTGGAACGCTCCCGACAAGGCGCAGCTGCTGGAAAGCACCGCGGGGCTAGAAAACCACCGAAAGCCCACGACAACGCCCGATACCTCGAGCCTCGAACCCGAAACTCGTCTCCCCTCCAAAGCCTCTTCCCCCCATCGTTGCCTCCCAGGGCAGAGCCCACCGACCTCGACATGGACACTCTAACGGTCAACGGCCGCTGGCTGACGCTGCCCCTGGGGGGCGCAGGGCGGCGCCCTCGGTGCGCCAGGGGGTGCCCGCCTGACTTCCGCCTCGGTGTGCGCCCGCGGGCCCTGCCCGAAGGAGACGACCTTCGCACCGACTGGTCGCTCGGCCGCCGCCGACGCCAGCGCTCCTCCTCGTACTCCGAGGCAGGAGAGAGAGGAACAACAAAAGGCATAAACATGAGCTGTAGGAGGTCCACGAGGATTAGTTGGATCTGCGCTGGGCGCCCCTTGGCGGCGCCTCCGGCGCCGCCACTGGCGAGCTCCGCGCGCCAGAGAGGGGGGCCCAGAGCCGATCCAAGAAATCCGCGCGGAGCTTCGAACATGAATGAGTGCCCATGTCTTTCCGACGAGGGAGAGGGAGAGGGAGAGAGCTAGACAAATGCCAAAACCATACTTGATCACGTCGTGGAAAAACAAACACGTCGGGCGGCTTCTTGCCGTTTTCGGCGCCGGGGGGCCCTGAGGGGCCCCGGGACCGTCAGGAGAACGGCTCGGAAGGAGAAATTGCCCCTGGCCCATCATTGGATGACAAATTCGTTCGGTCGCGATCGGTCGCGACTGATCTCGACCGAGATCGGTCACCACCGACCCGTCGCGGCCGATGTTGAAGCAGATCGGTCGCGACCGATGCAGGAATTTGAAGCAAAATCGGTAGCGACCGATCTTGTTGGTGGCGAATGGAAAATTCCAGTATAGTATCCAACGATCCGCGAGGGAGAGCCCTTCGCCGCCTCTGTGGAGCAGGGCCCCGTCGGGCCACTTCCAGAGCGGGGTCCGCCCGAACGGGGCCAGGAAGGTGAGGACGGGGGACGGCGCCGCAACGCCTGCGCAAGGGAAACGTGGCGGCGGCAGCGGGACAAAGAAACCAGTAGAGAACAAACGAATGCGTACGCAGACACAAACAATCGGAGGTCCACGTGGATTTCTTGGATCGCGCGGAGCGCTCCGAGGGCAGCCCTGGAATTGCCGCCAGGGGGGTCCAGCGCCGATCCGAGAAATCCGCGCGGACCTCTGAAAATGACTCGCCGAAAACGTGAATACTGTTCTTCTAACCGGGGGTCCAGACCACACCGCATCGCCGATGCGGAGCCATCCTCCAACCCCATCCACTCCACCCCATGTGGCGGCCTGGACAGAGAGAGAGAGAGAGAGGGCAGACTATTCGTCTCCAGCTACCCCGCGGTGTCCCCGAGGAGGGGAGAGAGGGATGGATGGAGCGGGGAAAGGCGGAAGGCGAAGACCAAGGCGGCAAACACGGCGACGACATCGATGAACAGGCGACGACAACCAAGACGATGACGACGACCGCGACGACGACAGCAACGACGACCACCACCAAGAAGACGACCACCACACCGCAGCGCCGACGGCAAAACCGCGATGACGCTGAAATCGACGAGGACGGCCACGACGACCTCTACCACGGCCGCCACGATGACGACAACGACGACGGCGAAGACGACGGCGAGGACGATGACGACGAAGACGAAGGCGATGGCGGCGGCGGCGGAGGCAACGGTACCGACGGAGGCGGCGGCGGCGGCGAGTGCGCTGAGCCGGCGTGGAAAAGCGAGCGACAGCGAGCGCGCGGGACTGGCGGAAGGCGCCTCCGCCTCATGCCAGCCGCCGCCCCGCACCTCTCCGGGGATGATCGCCATAGTCATCCTCCTTCCTGGCCCTCCTCCTCCTCCTCCTCCTCCTCCTCCTCCTCCCTCCTCCTCCCGCTCCTCCCCTCCTCCTCCTCCTCCTCCTCCCCCTCCTCCTCCCTCCTCCTCTCCTCCTCCTCCTCCTTCCTCCTCCTCCTCCCTCCTCCCTCCTCCTCCCTCCTCCTCCTCCCCCTCCTCCTCCTCCTCCTCCTCCCTCCTCCTCCCTCCTCCTCCTCCTCCTCCTCCTCCTCCTCCTCCTCCTCCTCCTCCTCCTCCCTCCTCCTCCTCCTCCTCCTCCCTCCTCCTCCTCCTCCTCCTCCTCCTCCTCCTCCTCCTCCTGTTCTCCTCCTGTTCTCCTCCTCCCCGTCCTTCTTCCTCGCCCTCATCCCCCTGTACACTCCGAGGGTGCGGGGGTCACAAGGGAGGAGGAGGGGGAGGACGTCCGAGCCAGAGAAAAAGGGGGAGGAATGGTGGGCTCGACCATCCCCACAGGGGCCGAGTCGAGCTCGCGGCTTTCGGGAAAGCGCCAAACCCCATGGCCGCGACAATCGGGTGGGAAGGAAGGGGAATAGAGGAAAAGGGGCGGGGGGAAAGGATGAGGAAGGACGGGGTGTAGAGGACGTCCTCCTCCTCATCTGCTCCTCCTCCTCCTCCTCCTCCTGCTCCTCGTCCCTCCTCCTCCTCCTTGTTCTCCTCCTCCTCCCTCCGCCTGTCTCCTCCCTTTTCCTCTGTTATCCTCCTCCTCCTCCTCATCCTCCTCCTCCTCCTCCTCTGCCTCCCCTTCGTGCATGCCCCTCTCCCTCCCCCACTCTGCCTTCCTGCAGACAAAAGACCTGTAGTACAGATAGTGTCCCCCAGAGGTAGAAGCAGCGTTGCAAAATAAGGCAGTCGCGCGCCCTCTGATCGCCTCGCCTCCCGCAACGTCTCTCTCACAACCTCGTGCCCCACCTCTTGAATTCGTCTCTCGTCCTCTTGCGTCCCAGCTGGTCCCTCTTCTGTCGCATCGTATTCTGCGTATCACACGATGTGGACATTTTGGGGACCTTGGTCCGCCAGGGCGCCCATCGGCGGATAGAGGAGAAAACAACACAATGTGAAGGAATGTTTGGGAAGGGGGGGGGGGTAGAGTGTCAGTTATGGTGCGCGCACCTAGTCCTCATCTCTCCTCCCACCCCCCAGCAGCCAAATTTCATCGGCCAGAAGGGAGGTAGGATCTCAGGGAGGGTGTGCAGGCCACAGAGCCCAGGCCCACGCTGCCAACGCTTATGATACATCTGTCATGGTTACACATGTGTATAACTAGTTAAGTATACAAATTCCTGGCTGCCACATAAACTGCACCACAAAGGTCGCATCACGTAGAGTGCGCAGCATCGGTGACACACAATAGATTGCACGACATACAGTGTACCACGTAGATTGTGCTCCGCGTTTGCTGCACAGCCCAATTCTAAATGCTTCGCGTATCCCCACCAGTTCTTCCAGGTACACGCATCACCGCAAGAAAGTCCCTGGGTCTCCCCACCACCTCCCGCCACCCGTGGCCCCGAATGGGCCCGTCTCACCACGCCGCGCCCGGCCTAGGCCGTAATACCCGGGACCGCCCTCCGCTGGGGCGAAGGCTACCTCCCCCCCTTTTCTTTAGCGCAGCTTAGCTAGACAGCCTACGCTGGACAAATGGCCCACCCGCCACCTTTTCGGGCTCGCCGTCGGGGCCATCCCCCTCGGGCGCCCGACATCTCACCCTCAAATGCCCTGTTGGGCCACCGCTGGCTCACGTCTGTAGAGGCCTCGGCCACCCTGGAAGGTGCTATCCGAAGATGGCAGTTTTCCTGTCTCTCGACCCTGAGCACCGGTTAGCTGCGACCCTGGATCACCTCGGACCCACAGTCCCCACGGGTGCGTCGGCCCGCGGCAACAGCGCTGCCAGTCAGCACGTGCCTCAGCGGACTGCAGCCGGCCCATCCTGGACCGCGCCAACAGTGGGCGGAGAGATCGACGGATCGCGCTGACGGCAGCTTAGCTAGACAGCCTTCGCTGGACAAGTGGCCCACCCGCCACCTTTTCGGGCTCGCCGTCGGGGCCATCCCCCCTCGGGCGCCCGACACCTCACCCTCCCTTGCCCTCTTGGGCCACCGCTGGCTCACGTCTGTAGAGGCCTCGGCCGCCCTGGAAGGTGCTGTCCGAAGATGGCAGTTCTCTTTTCTCTCGACCCTGAGCACCGGTTAGCTGCGACCCTGGATCACCTCGGACCCACAGTCCCCACGGGTGCGTCGGCCCGCGGCAACAGCGCTGCCAGTCAGCACGTGCCTCAGCGGACTGCAGCCAGCCCATCCTGGACCGCGCCAACAGTGGGCGGAGAGATCGACGGATCGCGCTGACGGCATTAAATCGGCCCAATGAAAGTTCCTGGAATTTTCATCACGACGCTGGCCGGCGGAAGTCGACGGAAGTAAAACGAGGCGGAAGACGGGGGAAGGCCGCCGGAAGGCTTGCCAATGTCAGCGGAAGTAAACGACGCCCCTTCCGAACCCCCTACCCCCGTAGAAACCTAGCAATGTTGTTTTCCTCCGTGGGCCGGGCGGGATCCCGCCTGGCTTATTCCGCTTTGATATTATAAGTTTAGTTCGGGACGATCAAAATCCCACCCATTCAAAATTGGGTGGACCAAAATCCCGGGCCGTTCACGGATCCCACCATGCTGGGATCGGCTCGAAGTAAGATGGGGCTCATAAGTTGCAGTATTATTGCCGTGTTGGGGTCGTCTTGAAGTCATCTTGAGATCATATCCCGGTCATGTTTGGATCACGCAACCATCGCGTGGTCATTATGAGGCCACCTGGGTGCGCTTGGATCCATCTTGTTGCCATCGGGCCATCTCGGCGTCACGCGTTGCTCATGTGTTTCGTCATCTGCGAGTCGGCCTGAGACGGTCCAGAATCCATGGCGGGATCGCGTTGGGTTGGCATCATCCTGGGTCCTCTGGACGTTATCGTCCGTGGCCTGAGGCATTCCTGGAAGCATGTTGTGGCCATGGGACGTCTTGGGATCGCGTGCGTGCGAACGCTGAGCACGCGCGCGCGCGACTTTTCATCTTGCCGACGGGTTTACATACATATTATTCCTCTTGCGAGTTTCCAAAGAAACTTTTGCTGGAGCCAAGTAACAACACCTCACTCAGAGCGGCCGTTAGCCGCGACCCTGGATCCCCGCGGGGCATGGCAGATACGGCGGGTAAGTCAGTGCCCCGACGGAGCCCGCCTATTCGTCCGCCTGTTGGGCCCGTGGTGTCCGTCCCCACCGGCCCTCCTTGTGGGTCCTTCTGTCAGGACGGCTGCCTGGTCCTGTCCCCCTGGAACGCGGGGGTGGCCGCCCTGTGCAGCTCCTCCCTGGACTCTTGGCCTCGCTGGCGATGTTCATCCCCGCCAGCCTGGCCCTTCCCACGCAGTGCATCAGTCGGCTTCTTGGGCCGCTGATGGAGGGGTCGGCCCTCGTCGGGACCTGAAGGCCTTCCCCGTTGTGCACGGGATGGTGGACCGTGAGCCCCGTGCCGCTGCCGAGTGGTTCAGCCTTTGCAGCCGCGGCCGCTCCCCTGGGCCCCTGCCATCCACCAGGCAGGTTTGCGACGTTCCTCGGCAGTTCAGCCCACCTTGTGCGCACACGCCGTTGGGACGGCCCGCTGGCGACTCGCCCATCGTCCTCCTCGCCTGGAAGCCCACCTGGCATGATGGACGTGCAGTTATCGGCGCACCCGCCTCTGCACCGTTGAGTGGGCTCTGCTTCGCGGCACACACACACAATTTCCTGGCATTTTGCCAGGCTGCAAGTGCTTGAGCAACCCTGGACGCCCTCAGCTCGCCAGCTCTTCAGCGCAGCCTCGCAGCTGCTTTTTGAGTGGGCCGGCCGGCCTGTGGCGTGTTTAGTAGCTAATTCGGCCGCTGCCGTGTCCCGGAGCGCTTCTGCCTCCGCTTGCGCTGCCGCTGGCGGACGCGACCGAAAAAGAATCCCCACCTGTGCCCCCTTCCACTCGCCAGCCTGGCCGCTGAGGTGCCGCGTGATGCTTCGGCTCACCGCTTTAGGTTAATTCGTTTTTGCGCGGCAAGCTCTGACTGGACTCGCCGCTGGCGCTCTCGCCTGCGGCCGCTGACTGAAAATTATCCCCAGCAACCCATCCAGAAACGATGTCCAGGCGAGTTGAGAGGTGATCAGGGAAGTGCGGGAGCAAAGAGGGGGACGGCCGAACCGTGTGAAGGAGAGAGGGGGCGAAGGAAATAATTGGATGGATGGGTGAGGGAGTAGGGAGAAGGAGGACAAATAGGATGAGGAGGAGGAGGAGGCGGAGGGGGAGGAGGAGAAGGGATAGGAGGAGGAAGGAGGAGGAGGAGGAGGAGAGCAAGCAAAAAGGCCAGAGGTCTCTTGGATGCTTCTCGGAGCTTCTTGGGGTATCTCTTGGGCGTCTTGGGACGTCTTGGGGATCTCTTGGCGGTCGTGGGGGGCTCTTCGGCGTCTTGGGTGCCTCGGGGGGGCCTCTTGGGACCGCTTGGGATCCTTTGGGGGGCCTCCTGGGGGCCTCTTGGGGGCCTCTTGGGGCCATCTTGGGACCTCTTGGGGCCTCCTGGGGAGGGGAGCTTTAATTAGCGCCCCCCGCCAAGAGGCCATAATGGGGCCCAAACCCTGATAAAACTAATGATTTTGGCTTCCACGCCGAGGCCATTTTGGACGCTCCGACAACTCGCGAAACCCCCTGTCCAGGTCCAGGGGGGGGGGGTAGGGGGAGGGGTAAACTCCTCCCCGAAGGGGAAGAAGGAGGGGTGGAAGAGGAAACTCTCTAAACCACCGACGCCCAAAGGGCTGGTGGGATTATGGTGAATCCGTCCGCCGACCCCTTGGAGTCACGGTGTGTGAGATGCTTCCCCCTCCCCAAAACCTCCCCCAGGAGACCGGCCCCGCCAGTTCGGAGAAAGAAAAGGGTCACAAAGGCCGGCCGCACCCTTGGAGCCTCAGGGGGCCCAGAATCGGGCCAAGACGGCCTTAAAAAGGCCTCTGGACGGACGGTCCAAGAGGGCTACGAGTCGCCGAAAGATCGCTCCAAGACGCCAAAGATTGCCTCCAGACGGCCCCAGAGGCCCCCAAGACGCCCCAAGAAGCCACAAGCGTCCCAAAAGGCCCTCCTGAACAAAAATTGTCCCATTCCGCACGGGAAGTGAATCCCACCAGCCCTCTGGGCGTCGGTGGTTTAGGGAGTTTCCTCTTCCACCCCCTTTCTTCCCTTTCGGAGAGGTTCACCCCTCCCCCCATACCCCCTCCCCTGGACCTGGACAAGGGGTTTCGCGGGGTGTCGGAGCGTCCAAAACGGCATCGGCGAGGAAGCCAACATCATTTGTTTTACTACAAATTTGGCCCCATGTTGGCCTCTTTGGGGGGGGGACGCTAATTAAAGCTCGATCTCCTCCAAGATGGCCCCAAGAAGCGCCCAGGGGGCCCCAAGAGGTCCCAAGAGGTCCCAAGATGGCCCCAAGAGGCCCCCAAGAGGCCCCCAGGAGGCCCCCCAAAGGATCCCAAGCGGTCCCAAGAGGCCCCCCCGAGGCACCCAAGACGCCGAAGAGCCCCCCACGACCGCCAAGAGATCCCCAAGATGTCCCAAGACGCCCAAGAGATACCCCAAAAAGCTCCGAGAAGCATCCAAGAGACCTCTGGCCTTTTTGCTTGCTCTCCTCCTCCTCCTCCTCCTCCTTCCTCCCACCCTTCTCCTCCTCCTCCTCCTCCTCCTCCCCCTCCGCCTCCTCCTCCTCATCCGATTCACCCTCCTTCTCTCTACTCCCTCATCCATCTATCCAATTATTTCCTTCGCCCCCGCTCTCCTTCACACGGTTCGGCCGTCCCCCTCTTTGCTCCCGCACTTCCCTGATCACCTCTCAACTCGCCTGGACATCGTTTCTGGATGGGCTGGTGGGGATACTTTTTTGGTCGCGGGCGGACGCGGATTCGCAGTCGCCAAGCTGAGAGGTCCGGGCCACGGGCCTGTCAAATTAGCAACGCGGCTGGTGGGGATACTTTTTTGGTCGCGGGCGGACGCGGACTCGCAGTCGCCAAAAGGGTCGTCCGGGGCACGGGCCAGCCTAATTAAGCTACCGCGACAGGCGCACGACGGCCAGACCAGCACTCAGAAGCGGCTGCCGGGAGGCTGCGGCTGAGGGAAGCTGGCGGGAGTCTGAATACGCCCAAGGTAGAAGTGCACCTTGCAAGCCGGAGGCAGAACGACGCCACTTGTAATTGAGCCCTGCACGCCAGGGACGCACGGTCGGCTCTGTAACTGCGAACGCGCGTCAACTAGCGAGGCGCTACCACTGCCAGGAACCCAGGAAGCGGTGTGCTACCAGGGGATGAGGGCTGATGGACACGCATGGGCGCAGGTACCCAAGACAGAAGCCAGGCACAGTTAGACCGTGTCGCCACAGGGCGCCAAAGGTCAGAGCCGCAGCTGCGGCGGGTACATGCCAAATAGGCGGGGACGGGGCGCCGGTGGGGAAGCACGGTACCGCTGGAAGGCTGCACCACTCCGCGGCAGATCACGTGAACCCCGAGAACGATGCCAGACCCGGGCGGCAATGGCGAGTGTGGGCCGGGCCCCCGGGGCCGACTGCACCAGCTGGTGGGGATACTTTTTTTTTGGTCGCGGCCGCAAGCGAAAGCGCAGGCGGCGAGCAGGGTGTCCGGGCCAACGGGCAAGCCTAATTAGCTGCAAGGCGCAGCGCGAACCAACCGGGCCAGCCCTCAGAGGCAGCAACTGCGGCAGCGGCGGCGGGGGGCTGGCTGACTGAACTGCGACAGGTGGGGGTGCGCGAAGCGTATCGAATTTCTAATACGTTCGCCTCTTGGGCTTTCACGAGGCCCACAAAGGCCCAGGACGCCTTCAAGATCGACACAATATAGCACAAGCGGCCCCCAAGAGGACTCCACAAGCGGCCCCCAAGAGGACTCCACGACGGCCCAAGAGGGCCCCAAGACGCCCCCAGAGCCTCCAAAACGGTTCAGGAGGGCCCCAGTACGGCCCCAAGAGGAGGCCCAGAGGGGGAACCCGAATAGACATTTCGAGCACTCGGTCCAGAAAAAACCTGAGGCCCCAAGAAGCCCCCAAGAGGCTCCCACGAGACCCCCTAGAGGCCCCAAAAAGGCTCCTAGAGGCCTCAACACGGCTCCCGAGAGGCTTCAAACATGTTGCCAAGAGAGCCCAGAGAAACCAAAGAGCAAAGCCGCAATCCGCCAACCGTCCCCGACAAAATCTCAAGAAACTGAAACCCCAAGATTCTCAAGAAATCGCGCGTGTTCCGCAAACTCCCTTTTTCACTCTTACTGCCGCCCCAAGGGGTCGGCGGTGCGGCGTCAGCCAATGAATCTCATAGATCAATCACACTACTTTCACTGAGGTTGCATCGCATATAATGCACAACATAGAACGCACAACATACACTGCACCATATAGATCATACAACGCGTACTGCTATATGCTCTCTAGTTGGGGTCCACGATGGCTAACATCCAATCATATCTGTGTATACACACACACATATATATATGTACATATACCAATATGTCATACATCTACCATACTTGCAGAACTCTAGACCTCCCAGAAGAGTTCCGAGTCGAATTCTGGGAACGAAGGGTCGCGCCGCATCAACGATGCATCGCCGATGCATCGGAGACGTCGGTAATGCTTGGCCGCCGCCATAGTGGAGAAAGTCGGAATCTGCATCGTGACGCGCCTCATCGCTGATGCATCGCGATCTCCTCCGACTGTATCTGCTCGGACCCCATTTGGGAAGCCAGGAGAAATTTGCCAATCCTTCGAAGCAGTCCCTCCCCTGGTAAAAAGCAACTGATGCGAGGCCTTCGTCAGGACGAAATTAGAACTAGTAAATGAAGCCCGAATCACGCGGCCTGCATGCCAGATGCCAGATCAAGCCCAGGAAGTGGCCCGAGAAAGCCGGATTCGACCGGATGTGCTGGAATTCGCCGAAGTTGAATGTCTCCTGAGAGTTGCGCCCGAACCTCCTGGCACGAGGCACCGGAAGGAGGCTTTGCCTCAAGGTCGGCGCGCGCCCTCAATGACCCATCGGCATTCGCCGACGAGGCCGCCACTGCGGCCATGGCGCGCGCTTTCGCCCCATGGGCAGCGGCTTTCGATAACGCCAGCAGGCGCGTCTGGAAGTCCGCCGTGGAGGCCCGCTCTTGGGGGCGCTCCTGAGAGTTGCGCTCCTCCTCCTCCTCCTCCTCCTCCTCCTCCTCCTCCTCCTCCTCCTCCACGTTGTTTATATCCCTCCTCCTCCTCCTCCTCCTCCTCCTCCTCCTCCTACTACTACTATTCCTCCTCTTCCTCCTCCTCCTCCTCCTCCTCCTCCTCCTCCTCCTCCGGAAGGTGAGAGGGCTCGGGGCAAGGCGGCGGCCCCCGAGCCGCCTGCAGCCGCCGGGCGGCGTCGCCCGAGAGGCAGACGAGGATCGTCTCGCTCCTGGCCGGGCGGGCAGTGTCCCCCAGAGCCCGCGCCTCCTGGCCACTGCAGACGTCGACGTCGACGAGACGTCGACGAGGGACTTCGAGGGACTTCGAGACGTCACTTCGAGGGACTTCGAGACTTCGAGACGAGGGACTTCGAGGGACTTCGAGGGACTCCGCGGTTCCTCCGAGACGTCGACGAGGGACTTGGCGTCGCGTAGGTCGCTGAATCCCGAGGGACCCCTGGTGTTGAGTCGGGCCTGTCCCCCTACAGAGGGATTCTCGACGAAAAATTCGCCGGCCCAACGGGCCAGAGGCGTGCTAAGCTCTCCGGTAACTTGTTAACAATATTTCTAGTTCGCGCGCGCGGAGCGGCCCCTGGGGGCCCCCGGACGAAAAGTACCCCGGCAAGGTCCCGAGAGAAGCCCGGAAGAAGCCACCAGACCACTCCAGGGGAGGGTATTTTTCGACACCCCTCACGAGGATCGTGGCCTCCGAGGGGGGAGCCGCAATCGACTACCCCCAAGAGCCCCCCAAGAGGCCCTGGGGGCCTCCAAAACGCCGCCAAGGAGCCCCAAGAGACTCCCAAGAGGTCCCCAAGAGGCCCTAAAGAGGGCTCCAGGGCCGGCGGCATGAGCGAAGCGATTAAATATAAAAGATACCCCAAAAATAATCAAGAAATGGTCCAAACATAGCCTGGGGACTATGTTTTGAATATTTGTTCGTCGTTTTGGGGGTATTTTGGGAGTATTTGTTTTGTTTCGTCGAAGATCCCCCTGTAGGGGGACAGGCCCGACATAACCCTGGGATCCGCCCGCGGAGGCCTCAGAGAATTCTGCTCGGCACATCACGTCGCGAGTTGCGTGGGGTCCTCGTGGGCTCGATGGGGCGCTCTCGGGTTGGAGGATCCGCCCAGATCGTCTCCTCTGTCCTCATTGTCCACCTGCTCTCCGCCCTCCTTGCCATTTTCGTCGTCGTCGCCGCCATCACCTCCTCCTCCTCGTCCTCATCCGTCGTGTCATCGTCGCCGCCAGCGTCGTCCACTTCCTTCTCCTGCTCGACCTGCTCCTCCTCCTCCTGCTCTCCTCGTCATTCCATGAGCCCGTTATCATCCAACTACTCCTGCTCCACATGCTCCCCATGTCTAATGTTGCTGTTCCTGATCCTGCGCCTCTTCTGCTGTACAGGAATATGCCTCGGATATCCTTTCTCGTCGATATCAATATTCTCCTCTTCGCGCTCATTCCCATCGTCTTCACACATATGCTGCCACATCTCGGCATGATCCTCCTTCTCAACCTCCTTCTGATCGCCCTCGTGCTCTCCCTCATGTTCTGTCCCGCCCCGTTTCTGCATCCTCCTCCTCATCATCCTCATCATCAGCACCACCTCATCCGCCGCATCAAATTTAAAATCCTCTTTCCAAAACTTCGCCTATCCTCAGTACTCCTTGTCCTCGTTTCTCATCCGCCTGCTCATCATACACCGACTTCTCGTCCTCCCTTCATTTCCTTTGAACTGCTCCTCGACCTGGTCATGCTACCCTGCGTTAGACTCCAACTCAATGATAGAAGCGGACAAATATGCCTTCCTTGCGCCCAATACCATTCATGAGGCAACGCCCGGCACGGGAATGAATATACTGAAACTGAGATTGGGATCTCAAATTGCAAGGATCCCGTGGGACTCAAACATGAAATCCTGTTGAAACTATGTCACCCGCGTAATTGGGAATTCACTGGAACATTGGGAAGCCTCGCGGAACCCTCACAGATATCAAGACGACACCCAGTAATATCCGAACACGGTCGAAGCCCCGAGGACGTAACCTTTTCCGACCTCCTGCCGCATAACTTCTCCTCATTCCTCATCCTCCGCTTGATTATCCAGCCTCCAGAAACCTTGCGAAGCCATACACTAGAGCAGCGAATAACCACAAGATGCCTTCGAACAGTTAATCACAACATATTCCTCCTCATCCTTCTCCTTCTACCTCCCTTCTCCTGTCGGGCACGCGCTGACATTCATGAGGGATCCGTAGACCTGGCGTGTGGGGGCCAGATCCACTTTGGTCACCAATGTGGATCTTCCACGCATGCTCCCATTGAAAAGGCACCATAATTCGGTGTCTGTTCAAAAGGAGCCTGCGTGGCTCCCAGCGCCCTGTCCGATTTGGACCTGACTTGGACTCGATGTGTAACAGATGTTGGCCTGGATTTGGACCAGACTTGGACCGGATTCACCCGTTAGGACGAAGAGGGGGGGAGGAGCAGGAAGGGCGAGGAGGAGCAGGGGGAAGTGCCATGTGTGGTCCAAATGCGGTCCCAAATGCAGCTTATTCCAACGTCGCCGCCCAAGGTTCCCATCAACAGACATCGAGAATCCACGGATTGGAGAACGTATGTACGCCACAAACCATGGCGCCAATGACACCACATTTCGCAATGGAGGGCTCCGATCGTTTGCACAGCAGCGGGACCAGACACGAATCCGCGCGCCTTAATCTATGTTGTCGTTCCCTCGACCCTCCTCTCCTCTGCTCCCCCTCTCACTCCCTTTGAGAATCGGCACCAGTGCAGTCAGGCACGTCTCCTTGGCCGTCTACCGAGATTGCTAGAAGTGGCCCAAGGTGATCCCAGCTTCTGAAAAAAGCTGCGCAGGTGGCTTCCAGAGCACCCCCCACGCCCAGAGACCCCAGAGGCCCTCAGATGGCGCGGGCAGCTGTGAGCACCTTTGGCATCGGACGTCCATTTCCCGTGCATTTGTCGGTGGCGTGCGTGTTTGTTTGTTGCTCGATGGTACAGGATGGTCCTCAAGGGTCCTCGCCGAGAAAAAAATACACACGTACGAGCGATGCCAGGACTTCTGGCACAAGCAGGGCCCCTCCTGAGCCCTTGGTGGTCTCTGTTTCAGCGTCTCGGCTGCAGGCAGGCTTCCTGCCAGCGTGCTGGTGAAGACCGAGACTTGTCATCCCACCCCTTACAATTTCCATCAATTGGGGAAACTAACACGTGCCGATACCCCTACTTCACGGGCCTCTCCCAGGGTGCGTTCTGACTCGAACTTCCATGCGAATCCAGCCACGGCGACGAAGGCCTCCCGGGAGGCCCAAAACGAGAAAAACGAGGCAGAGGTAACCAGCGGTATCGGTGCCTTTTCCTCCTAGGATCATGGGGGCTGCGGGGGGTCCCCGCCCCCACCAATCAACCTTCTTCGGGGATGGACAGAACCCCCTTTAGTAAAACGTGGTTTAGTGAAAACGACCTGAGGCCCAAACCTGGCGGGCGCAAGCCTGGAAAATGACGGCCGCGGCGCCCTCTCGAGAACCGAAAACGGACAATTCACTAATCGACGTGTCACTGTTGGGGGTTCTGTCCACCCCCGATCCGATTACTATGCTCCAGTCAAAACTGATAGTAAGAATGCGCAAAGAAAGGGCGCAAGGGCATTGGACGTCCATGGCGAGACTCTTCGAGCGGGGCTGGCCATCGAAGCGATTGAGGATGGACCAGGGAGGATGGAAGAGGCAAGTTTAGGAAGTCTACCATCTTTACCATTACTTCTGGCTCTACCATCGGAAGATCCTGGGTGCACGAGGACGGCTAGAGGAACAACCGCGGCATGATCTGAAGAACAGCGAGCCCATTCCAAACCCAAACCGGTCCTTCCTCTTCGGTGAAGACGACCCCGGCCTCTTACGTCGCATCACTGCCACCCACATCCTGTCCCCCGCGACGGGCCTCCGCGGCAACAGCGCGGGCGCCATCACCCCCGGCACGAGGCCGCGCAGCTCCTGGGCGGTGGGCAGGGCGCCCGCAAGGCGCGCGCAGGCCTGCGGGGCTTATCTCCGAGCAGCCCAACCACATGCGACGAGAAGGAGCGGGTCTTACGCGCAGAGGCACGACGACAGGGTGCGAGCTAAACGGCACTGACCCATTTCCTGTTGCCTTCGTGTTCGCTCGGTCTGTCTTGGTTCCGCAACTGCTGCAAGACGAGGTCGAAGGAAAACGGCCCACGAAGTCGTCCAAACACCGCTTCGCTCGCACCCTGCATGCCGACCTCACGCCGCGGCCTACGCGCGAATGTCTGCGCAGTCGAACCCGTTGTTTGTTCGTGCGCTGCTTGCATGGAAAACCATCAGATCCAAATGTCGCGCTCTTGTTGTCTCCAGCCACGCAAAAACACACAGAGACAAAAAACCACGAAACTTAGACAATGCAACCAAAAAACGCCACGCGGCCGCGTGCTCATGTTCAGGAAGCCCTCTCCGGCCCAAGGGAACGTCAAAACAAACGACCTACAGGCTGAGAAGAAAAGCCAGCCCCGGGGGAGAATGCGAGACCACCTGGGCGGACGTGGGAGGAAATAGTGACATTCGTGGGATTCCCCCCGAGACATTCGTTACGGGGGAGGGGAGGTTGGGTGGGGTCAGGCTTGCGAGCGCCACAGCAAGCTTGTGAGCACCCAGGCATGTCTGCCAGCACCACAGCATGCCCGAGAGTACAGGAAGAGGAGGAGGAGGAGGTGGAGGAGGAGTTGGAAGGAGGAGGAAGGAGAAAGGAGGAGGAGGAGCAGGAGGATGAGGAGGAGGAGGAGGGGGAGGAGGATGAGCAGGAGGAGGAAGAAGGTGGAGGAGAAGGAGGAGGACGAGGAGGAGGAGGAGGAGGAGGAGGAAGGGGCAATGAGGGAAAGGTCCCTCGTAACAGACGCTGCGGGTTCACTGGCTGAGCAAGAATCTCGAGGGGAGGGAAGGAACGACAAGACCGCATCTGTGGGCTGGGTGTTTGACCCCCTTGACACTCTACTAGTGCCAATGGAATGGCACTTGCTGGCTTAAAAGACGCGAACCGATTAAAACGACACCCCAGCAACGCACCCTAATAGCAGCAAGAGCGAAGAGGCGGGTCGAGGAGTACGAGGTCGGCTAGTGAAAACGTTCAATCCTGGGTATTCCTGGGGATCCCTGGGAACCGCAAGCATCGTGGCCGCCTGGACCAAACATACAGCCAGCATCGAGGCGAGAGCACGATCCCCGAACAGATTGTGCGGAAGCGGCAGGCGAAACGGCTGCCAGACTGGGCGGTCTAGGGCTCCCTCCCTTCTGAAACTCTTCTGCCATCTTTTTTTCATTGTCAGTACAGTCAGGCGCCTGCCAGAAGGAACGCTATAACCCACGAAGCCTTGTTTGCCATAGTCGAATCATAAATATGTAAGCGACCCCTTTTTGGAAGCGTTCCCTCATCGTTGCCTCTCGTTCTGGCACGCGCGCGCCACAACCCGAGGAACGCCGAGGGGGTGTCGTGGCGCAGTGGCGAGGGCACGCCAGCAGACCCAGGGAACCACCGAGCCCCTTCCGAACCCGAACTGGACCTTATTTCAGGGGCCTCACTTCGGGGAGACGTAAGACCCGGGTACGGGGGACTCGGAAATCCCCGACGAGGTCGTCAAAAAAATGACGAGGCCGAGCCTGCATTTTGACGAGGCCTCCCGCTGCAGACATCCCACAAAACTCCTCCTCGTCAAAATCCGAGTCGCGGTCGTCAAAAAACGATGGCGAACCCGAGTCCCGGCAAACCCGGGTCTTACGCTCCCCCGATCACTGTAGGACCCCCCAGCGAAACGCCATTGGGGGGAAAAAAAACAGCTTCCCGTGGGGCGCGCTCGGATGAGCCCGGGCCAGGCTCTCACGGTGACTCCAGCCGTGGCGCCGCCGCCACCCCCCTGCGGAGGCCCCAGACGGAGAGAGAGTGTGAGAGAGAGAGATATGCAGAACAAACGAGTGACACTTAGAAACACACATACAAACAAAACAGACAAAACAAGAGGAGGGGGGACGGGCATGAGAGGGAGGAGGGAGGTGACCCCCCTGGGTTGCACTCCCCCCTCTTCACCCGAGGAGGAGTGCGGATTGCAACGGGGACGAGGAAAGGGGCATGTTCACTACCCACAGGACTGGCGTGCTCCAACTGAGCTGGCGGGGGAAGCGCTAGACGCAGCCTCATTTACGCAAGGAGCCGCGACCCCAAGAGGGTTCGGAAACGACTTCGCTGCGACAACTCTGGAAGACTGTTCCGACTATGACGGAATTCTGGGCCTCAGCGCAGATCTCCTGGAGTCAGTCCGCAGCGCAGTGCATTGGGCTGTCGAATGATACTGCCAGAGATGTGATCATGGCCCGAGCCGCCCCATGTGCGATCGCGGGCGATGAACAGAGAATGCAGGGGAAGGGTAGGCGTCGTCGTACAGTCATGCAGCCACCCTGATCACCGCTTGACCTCGCGGTGGCTTGAGGAGGAGGAGGAGGAGGAGGAGGAGGAGGAGGAGGATGGGGAGGAGGAGGAGGAGGAGGAGGATAGGGAGGAGGATAGGGAGGAGGAGGGGGAGAGGGAGGAGAGTGAGGTTGGGCAGGAGAACCCCGAAGCCCGACGACGAGGCCGGGGAGCTGCCCCGCCCGCGTCCTCCGCGCTCGCCGCCCCCAGCGCGCCCAGGAAGCACCCCTCCTGGGCGCGGCACCGCGGGGGACCGCGGCGCCCCGGCCCTCCCTCAACCGAGATCACACCGCGCGGCCGCTCCCATCCCCCCCGGGCTCTGCGCCCCCCGCCACGCGTGCCCCGCGTCCTCGCCCTCGCCCGCCCTCGCCCTCCGCCTATCGCCGTCCTCCGCAGCTCTCGCCCTCGCCCGCCCCCGCCCGCGCGCCTCCTCGCCCTCGCTTTCGCCCTCGCCCCTCCTCCGCCCCTCCTCCTCCGCCCTCCTCGCAGAATGCAGCAGGAGGATGGGGTCCAGAACTCCGGTCGTGATTTTTTCGCGATGCTGCCGTTTGCCGCAGCATGGCGGATGATGGCTACGGTTAGGTCGGGCCTGTCCCCCTACAGGGGGATTTGGGGTGAAAAAAATGAAAATTCTTTAAAAAGACGCCCAAAATGCTCAATAAGACAAAAAAATCGTCCCCAGACTATTTTGAATATTCCTGCTGTAGAGGGACGGGCCCGACTGAAGGCCACGGGGAGCCCCCGAACCGCGTGGTGGCCACAGCGCGCGGTGTCGGTGTGGATTCGGGGCCGCCACACGGTCTTGGAGCACGGCCGAAGGCGACTCGGGCGACCGGGCCCCCCGAGGTCCCCAGACCGTGCGGTGACGCACCGCGCGGTGAGATCACCTGGGCTTCCGAGGTCACCACGCGGTCCGTCACCGCACGTCGTCGTCGTCGTCGGCGTCGTCCGCTGTCGTCGTCGTCGTCCGTCGTCGTCGTCGTCGGCGTCGTCGGCGTCGTCGGTCGTCGTCGTCGTCGTCGTCGTCGTCCGTCTTGGGGGCACATCCCCGCAACGTGGATCAATCACTACACGTTCGGCCTCTCGAGCCCCGGGCTTCTCGACCAAGCATGGGCGCGCCGGTCCGCCACCCGTTCAGGTGATGGGCTGAACGACGTCCGCTGTCCCTCGGCTCACGATTCCTCCAGGTTCACCTGGATCTATCTGGATGTACTTCGATTCGCCTGGGTTTGCCAATAACTGCTCTGGATGTGCGCCGCTTCACATCGACTTCCCTAGCTTGACCCCCGAAAATCGATTGTAAAAACGATGCCCAGCCCTTCGAGACTGGTCACGGCCTCTTCCTAGCGCCCCCTCTCCTCGTTTGTCGTCCACTCGCTTTCCTCTTCCGCGTCCCCCCACCCCTGACATCCCCTGACACCCTCGATCTGCAATTTTCGGCCTCTGGGGGCCTGCACTGGGCCCCAGGACTGTCAAACAACGACCTGGTATGAAAAAGCTGGCACGTGCCGGGGAAAGGGTACAGTTTTCTGGGGAGCCACGCTGTGAAACAAATGACGTCGGACTTCTGGGCTCCTCACTCGCTCACGGGCATGCGCTCGCTTTCTCGCACGAGCCCGCCTTCTACTCGTGGACCTTTCGCTCGCTCGCGAGCCAGGTGAAGCCGCCGAGGTCCTCAACCTCTCCCTCTGCCCTGCCCCAGATGCGGTAGTGGAGCGGCAAGCAAAGCTCGCACAAACAGAGGGGACTCCCATCCTGCCCCTCCTGCCCCTCCTGCTGCTCCTCCTCCTCCTCCTCCTCCTCCTCCTCCTCCTCCTCCTCCTCCTCCTCCTCCTCCCCCTCCTCCATTAACAGATGCCGCCTCCTCCGTGTGCTTAGGCCTCCGGTCTCCGTCCAGAGAGAATGGGGGGAGAATCGGGGCGGGCACCAAGGAAAATGAACCTGAAGCGGCAAGGCAAAATCCGCCGACCCCTTGGGGATCATCGGCGTGTGAGATGCTTCCCCCTCCCCAAACCCCTCCCCCGGGAGCCCGGTCCGGTCGATTTGGAGGGGGGGGGGGGGGTCGGGCGCGAGCGGGGGGGGTCCGGGACGAGCGACTCACGGGGCTTTTCCGGGCCCAAGAGGGCCTCAAGACGGGCCAAGAAACCCCCAAGAGGCCTCCAAAACGGCCCACGAAGGCTCCGAGACGCCCAACGACCGGTCCAAGACGCCCACGATGGCCCCAAGACGGGCCAAGAGGTCTCCAAGACGGCCTCCGAGGTCCCAAACAAGCCTCCCAAGAGGGCCCAAAGAGTCTAAAATTGTTGATTTTCCCGGGTGTTTTTCAACGTTTCTTGCTTTCCCGCCTTTCCGGCTTCCCGACGCTCCAAGACGGCCAAAGAGGCCCCAAAGATAGCCCCAAGATGGCCCAAGAGGCCCCCAAGACGGCCTCCAGACGGCACAAGACGGCCCCAAAACGGCCCAAGAGGTCCCCAAGACGGCCCAAGAGGGCCGATTTGGAGGGGGGGAGGGGGCCGGGACGAGCGCAGCACGGCCGGGACGAGCGGTTCCAGAGCTTTTCCGGGCCCAAGAGGGCCTCAAGACGGGCCAAGAAGCCCCCAAGAGGCCTCCAAGACGGCCCACGAAGGCTCCGAGACGCCAAACGACCGCTCCAAGACGCCCACGATGGCCCCAAGACGGGCCAAGAGGTCTCCAAGACGGCCCCCGAGGTCCCAAACAAGCCTCCCAAGAGGGCCCAAAGAGTCTAAAATTGTTGATTTTCCAGAGTGTTTTTCGACGTTTTTTGCTTCTCCGCCTTTCCGGCTTTCCGACGCTCCAAGACGGGCAAAAAGGCTCCAAAGATAGCCCCAAAATGGCCCAAGAGGCCCCCAAGACGGCCTCCAGACGGCCCAAGACGGCCCCAAGACGGCCCAAGAGGTCCCCAAGACGGCCCAAGAGGGCCGACTTGGAGGGGGGGAGGGAGCCGGGACGAGCGCAGCACGGCCGGGACGAGCGGTTCCAGAGCTTTTCCGGGTCGAAGAGGGCCTCAAGACGGGCCAAGAAGCACCCAAGAGGCCTCCAAGACGGCCCACGAAGGCTTCGAGACGCCAAACGACCGCTCCAAGACGCCCACGATGGCCCCAAGACGGGCCAAGAGGTCTCCAAGACGGCCCCCGAGGTCCCAAACAAGCCTCCCAAGAGGGCCCAAAGAGTCTAAAATTGTTGATTTTCCAGAGTGTTTTTCGACGTTTTTTGCTTCTCCGCCTTTCCGGCTTTCCGACGCTCCAAGACGGGCAAAAAGGCTCCAAAGATAGCCCCAAAATGGCCCAAGAGGCCCCCAAGACGGCCTCCAGACGGCCCAAGACGGCCCCAAGACGGCCCAAGAGGTCCCCAAGACGGCCCAAGAGGGCCGACTTGGAGGGGGGGAGGGAGCCGGGACGAGCGCAGCACGGCCGGGACGAGCGGTTCCAGAGCTTTTCCGGGTCGAAGAGGGCCTCAAGACGGGCCAAGAAGCACCCAAGAGGCCTCCAAGACGGCCCACGAAGGCTTCGAGACGCCAAACGACCCCTCCAAGACGCCCAAGATGGCCCCAAGACGGGCCAAGAGGTCTCCAAGACGGCCCCCGAGGTCCCAAACAAGCCTCCCAAGAGCGCCCCAAGAGTCTAAAATTGTTGATTTTCCATAGTGTTTTTCGATGTTTTTTGTTTTTCCGCCTTTCCGGCTTCCCGACGCTCCAAGACGGGCGACGAGGCCCCAAAGATAGCCCCAAGATGGCCCAAGAGGCTCCCAAGACGGCCTCCAGACGGCCCAGGACGGCCCCAAAACGGCCCAAGAGGTCCCCAAGACGGCCCAAGAGAGCCGATTTGGAGGGGAGCGGGAGGGCCCGGGACGAGCGCAGCACGGCCGGGACGAGCGGTTCACGAGGCTTTTCCGAGCCCAAGAGGGCCTCAAGACGGGCCAAGAAACCCACAAGAGGCCTCCAAGACGGCCCACGCAGGCCCCGAGACGCCAAACGACCGTTCCAAGACGCCCAAGATGGCCCCAAAACGGGCCAAGAGGTCTTCAAAACGGCCCCCGAGGTCCCAAACAAGCCTCCCAAGAGGGCCCCAAGAGTCTACAATTGTTGATTTTCCATAGTGTTCTTCGACGTTTTTTCCCCAAGAGGCCCAAGACGGCCCAAGACGAGAAAGTGTCACATGTGGCGGCTCTCCTCGTCCTCGTCCTCGTCCTCCTCCTTCTCCTCCTCTTCATCCCTCCGCCTCATCCACACCATCACCATCACCATCACCATCGCCAACATCATCAAGCCTGGAGATACAACGCGTAACAAGTTAGAACATCCGTGATCCCTCGCGCAAAAACCACCGAGACAGCTGGGCGGGCGCGGTGGCGGGACTTGCCGCAGGCAGCTGGATAAAAAAAAAGGGAGCAGAGGAGGAAGAGGAGGCGGCCACGGGCGCCACAGAAGCGGACTTCGGGCCACGCGACCCCCGCAGCCGAGGGCCGACGGCCGCGCGCCCAGACGGCCCCCAGCCCCCTGCGGAGAGGAGGGTGCGACTGGCGCGGCACGGCAGCACGGGCATGCTGGCAGGAGTTTGACGGGGGGCGATGAACGGGGCGGCGAACTGGCACAGAAGTTGCTGAACGTTTCCGGCCCTTCTCGTCGCCACGGCTGTATTCCTTCTTGAAATCCCACCAGCCCTTTGGGTGTGAGTGGTTTAAGGAGCTCTCTCTGTCCTCAACCCCCTCTCAGATGGCCCCAGATGAGGCCACGACCGCCCGCGGTGTCGCCGTCCGCTCGGACACCCCCGCGGAACTGCCCGAGACCCTCTGGCAGTGGCGGCGAACAGACACCAAAAATATATCACTCGCCTTTTCACCCCTTCGCAGCTTCTACTGCCCCCCGATTGGCATAAACAAGGGGTCGGCGGTGTGGCGTAAGCCTAAGAATCATCTTTGTTCGCGCGGCGGGGGGGGCTGGGGGACGGGGGGACGGGGGCAATCGCAAGACGCACAGGGAGAGCGAGTGGGGGGAGGGGCAGAGACGCGGGGAGGGATGCGAAGGGGAGGGGTGGGGGAGAAGTTGCCACCGCTCGGACGTCCAGTCCCCCCGTGCGTGTTTCGGTCTTCGTGCGTGTTCGTTTGCTCGATGATCCAGAGTGTTCCTCGATGATCCCCGCCGAGAAACATGCACACGTCCGAGCGACGCCAGGTCTTCCTCGAGGCCTGCGTCGGGTGCTGGATGGTCGGTTGGCTGTTGCTCCTGCGAGGGCCTTCACAGCCTCGGCCACTTCACTCCAGAGCAGCCAGTGCGGCCATGACGGCGGGCACTGGAGCACGGGTAATAATCGAGGAGGAAATGCCACCTCAACCCCGATAGTTGGAGTTTAGCAAACGGCCCTGGGCGTTTACTGCCCTGCCCTGTTCGATTCCTGCCTTGGTGCGTTTACTAATGGGCTTCGTTTCGTCAGGATGCTTCTCATGAGGGTGGAGTCTCTGCTCTCGAAACAGTTCCTGCTAGGATGATAAGTTAGCTCTCCTTCGCTCCTTCCCCCCTGCCCCCGCAAGCTCCCTCCCAACGTAGCATTCCTCTCGACGCGCCCGCTGCTGTGCACGACGCGCGCCGCCACTGGTCCGGGGCGAACGCGCCACAAAGCCTCACAGCTGGGGCGCCGGGCGCTGGACACTGGCCGCGCCAGCGCGTCAGCTCCCGTGTCCCGCCCTCCTCTCCTCACTGGCCAGACGCCAGGGTTCCGAGGCCGCTCCCGGACCGCCAGTGCAGGAGGCGCAGCGGCGCCGGGGTAAGAAAAGGAGGCAGCGGGCGCGGCGGGAGGGAGCAGCCCCCCCCTCTTGACCCCACGACTGCAGCAGACAGGCGGCGGCGCGCGTGCGGCAGAGTTGTGAGGTGGGGGGCGCGGGGAATCGAACTACCTTTCAGCTTCGTCAACGCGCGTTTTGCACTGCTTGCTGCTGCGTCTCCTTCTCCCCTTTAGCCACAAGGCGACTTCACGAGCTTGTAAAAAAACGTCTGCCAGCATGCCTGCCCGTGGCCGACTAGCAAATTGCAGTCGTCCTCTTTGGCGTCGCGGGGTAGGGGAGGAGAGCTCGCAAGCGCACCGCTCAGAGAAGGAGATATACTGACCCACCGCCCCCAAGAGTGTTGCAAGATGGCCCAAGAGGTCCCACGATGGGCCGAAGACGCATCCACAACGGCCAAAGAGGGTCTCCCATGGGACCTGGGACGGCAACAGGAAGCCTTTTGAGTGCCCAAGACGGTCCCACGACGGCCCCTAGACAGCGACCATACGTTTAAGAAGGCCCCAAGACGGCCCAAGAGAGCCCCAAGACTGCGTCAGAGGGCACCAAGACGGCCCCAAAGGGCAGGCCGAGACAGTCCCAAGACGGCCCTGACGAGATCCATAATAGCTCCTCAGACGAGACAGTCGCAAGACGTCCCTGACGGTCCCAAGCAGGCCGACACAGTCCCCAAACGGCCCTGACAGAGAAGACGGAAGATGCGACATGTGACGGTATTCCTCTTCCTGCATCTCCTCGTCCTACTCCTCCTCCTCCTCATCATCATCATCCTCATCATCACCACCACGATCACCACCACCATCATTATCATCATCATCATCATCATCATCATCATCATCATCATCATCATCATCAGCAGCAGCAGCAGCAGCAGCAGCATCACCCTCCTCCTCCTCCTCCTCCTCCTTCTCCTCATCCACATCATCATCATCATCATCATCATCATCATCATCATCATCATCATCATCATCATCATTGTCAGCTTCATCATCATCAGCAGCATCACCATCATAGTCAGCAAACTCATCAGCATCGTCATCACCAGCATCAGCACCTTCACCATCGTCACCAGCATCAGCATCATCATCATCGTGATCATGATCATCATCGTCATCATATTCCCCCTCGTTATCACCATCCCCTCGTCAACATATTCATCATCCTCATCAGCAACATAGTCATCATCATCAGCGTCATCATGGTCATCATCATCATCATCATCACCATCATCATCATCATCATCATCATCATCATCATCACTACCATAAGCGACATGAACATCACCATCACCATAACGCATAATCACCAGCATCAAATCATCAGCATCATCCTAACCAACATCGTTATCGTCATCACCACCATCATCACCATCATCCTCCTCATCATCGTCAGCATCAGCATCGGCATCACCATCATCATCAGCATCATCATCATCATCCTCATCACCAGTATCAGCATGCGCATCATCTTCCCAGCATTATAATCAGCACCACCACCATCATCATCAGCATCGTGGTCAGCATCGTTGTCAGCATCATCATCATCATCATCATCATCATCATCATCATCATCATCACCAGCATCATCAACAACATCATCATCACCATCATCATCGTCATCATCATCTTCGTCAACGTCAACGTCATCATCGTCGTCATCATCATCATCATCAGCATCATCAACGTTACCATCAACGACAATATCAGCACAGGCACCAACACAATCAGCATCAACATCACCGTCAACATTGTCATCCTCATCATCAACAGCATCACCATCACGCCTCCCCCACCATCGAACAGTCGCCACCCAGAATGCCTTCACATTCCCAGATCTCCCAGGGCTCCCCGCGCGCCTCCCGCGGGGTTGCCCAGCCCTCCCCGCAGGACGTATTCGGAGCCACGAGCGCCCCAAAGCGAGCTAAGAGGCCCCGAGAGGCATCGGCCCTACAACCAAAGCACGGTGGCGGGATGGGCTGAATGCCACGAGATATCAAATACCACTGCCCGTCCCTCGCTTTCGCATGCTTGGCCCCCTGGAGGCGCCACGGCTGGGTTCGCCTTCAACTCCTGCTCAGAACGCGCTCTGGGTGAGAACCGGGGGGGGGAGAGGGCACACGGGCAGTCCTCAGAAAGGGAAGACACCCCAACTTGTTCAACAAGCGTGGGGGTGGCGGGTGGGGGGGTGTCAGATTCCACCACTCAGATTCCACCGCCCAGGGCCACATTGATTATACAAAAAGCACGCGAGAAAAGAAATGTTGTATACAAACCGCGGCCAGCACCCTCGCCCACCACCCAAGGCTTTCAGGTATAGTCCATCATGTTCTTCGGGCGGATAGGAGTGGGCTGTCATCCGTTGGGACGCGGGGGAAGTGGATCGCATTCGGGGGTGGGTTCGGGCGCGTTGGGGGGCCAGGGCGAGCCGTCGGGCGGACTGGCATGGGTAGGGGCACTTCTTAGGCAACTCGGGGTACCGACATAGCCGCCCGTCCCACGTTTTCACCTTTGGGGGCCTCCTGGGGAGACCCTGTCGCCGCGGCTGGACTCGCCTGGAAAGCCCGGTCCGAATGCGCCCTATAGGTGAGCTCTGGGACGTGCAGGTGTCATCTTTTTGCTGCCCCCACTAGAGGAAAAAGAAATATGCACATACACCGATTCTGGCCAGGCCCATCCTGAGCCCAGGATCGGTGCATACGCCCTCCTACCTTGGCCAGGAAGGCATATGCACCGATCCTGGGTCAAGGATTGGCCTTGCCAGGATCGGTGCATGTGCATATTTCTCTTCGCCCGACCCACCCCTCTCGGCCGACCCTCCCCCATTGCGCCCGAGGAGCGTGGGAACGCCGACGACGAGAGAAGGGGCGGGGCCCGAGGACCGAGGGGAGGGAGGCACACGGAGAGCCTCTTCGTTTCGTCCTCTCTCCTCTCAAAAGGCTTCTCCTCGCCATCTCTGCCGTCGCCTGCCCTCCCCCTTCTCCTCCTCGGCCCGCTCCTCCCGCCTCTCTTCTCCCCTGTCCCCCCCTCCTCTCTCCGATCCTCTTCCCCTCTCTTGTGCGCCCACTCACCCAGGAGGGCGGATTTCAAAAGAACGCCCCCCACCCTCCCATCCGCCCTACACCCTGCGAAATGCTTAAGAAATCATGGGTTAAGAAACTCAGAGTCTCAGAATTTGAATAAAAACCCAGAATGCCTATTCAAACCTTAGGATTTACATTGAAACATTAAGAATAATCGAGACTCTGGCCGAAAACTTGGATGTTCTTAAGCATCGCCTAGAGTGTATGCATGCCCCCCCAGCCCAAACCAACACTGTTTCCCTGCCCCTCCGCCACGAGCTCCCGCCCCGACGTCCCGTCTCCTGCCCGTGGCCGACCAGCAGCTCGCAGTCGTCCTCTCTTGCGCCGCGGGGTCTGGGAAAAGAGCGCGTCCACGCAACGCTCGGAGAAGGAGATCCTGTTCCTCCTCCTCCTCATCCTCATCCTCATCATCATCATCATCAGCATTATCACCATCATTATCACCATCATCCACCATCACCATCACCATCACCATCACCATCACCACCACCACCACCAGCACCAGCATCATCATCATCATCATCATCATCATCATCATCATCATCATCATCATCATCATCAGCAGCAACATCATCGTCATCGTCATCCTCATCCTCATCCGCATCCGCATCCCCATCCCCGTCCCCGTGCTCATCCTCCTGATAATCACCATCACCATCATCATCAACAACATCATCAACATCATCCCCAGAATCAACACCATTCCCATCAACACCAACAAGCACATTATCCGCATCGTCCTCCCACTCCTATCGTCATCATTGTCATGATCACCATCATCATTATCATCATCAACATCATCAGCATCAGCATCAGCATCACCATCATCACACTTAAGCATCATCAGCATCGTCATCAGCATCATCATCAACATCATGTGTTTAATCCTCATGTTCCACATCATCATCATCATCATCATCATCATCATCATCATCATCATCATCGTCATCATCATCATCATCACCGCCATGATCATCATCGTCACCATATCATCAGCATCGTCATCATCATCGTCACTGTCACCGCCACCATCGTCGGCAGTATAATCATCATCAGCATCATTTTCACCAGCATCTCCATCGCGATCGAAACACCATCATTACCATGACCCTCAACACCATCCTCATCAACAATATAATGATCATCATCACCACGGACGACAGCATCATGAGCCCTAGTAGCATCATCAGCATCAACATCATCATCTTCAACACCATCATTCCACTAAACCCAGTCATCGGCATCGCCAGCAGCATCATTTTCAGAATCATCGTCACCACAATAATCATATACAGCATCATCACAATCATCACAACTACTCCAACCACCACCACTATGATGAGCATCGTCATCAGCATCATCATCATCATCATCATCATCATCATCGTCGGCATCAGCATCTCCACCATCATCATCAACATCCTCACCCTCATTCCAACCCCACTTCCATCATCGTCAACAACATCATCATCATCACCATCATCATGACCATCACCGCCATCACCACCACCACAATCATCATCATCAGCATCATCATCAGCATCATCGCAATCGTCATTGTCATCGACATCGTCATAAACAGAACCACGATTATCACAAGCACAATCGTAATCATCATCATAGCCATCGCCATCATCATCATGCCTCTCATCCCCTCGGTATCATCATTAGCATCGGAATTATCAGAATCATCAGCAGCATCAGCATCAGCATCAGCATCAGCATCAGCATCAGCATCAGCATCATCATCATCATCGTCAACAACATCGTCATCACAATCACTATCAACATCATAAACGTCATCATCACCATCACCATCATGAGCACCACCAACATCAACAGCATCGTCAATATCATTGTCATCGTCACCATATTCAGCATCATCGTCATCATCATCAGTATTAGCAGCAGCAGCCGTATCATCACCATCACCATCAACATCATCATCATCACCACCATCAGCATCATAACCATCACATCATCAGCATCATCATTGTCAGCACCATCATCATCACCACCATCACCATCCTCATCACCATCGTCAACATCAACATCCTAATCATCAGCATCAACACCATCATCATCATCATCATCATCATCATCATCATCATCATCATCATCATCATCATCATCATCATCATCATCATCATCATCATCATCATCATCATCATCATCATCATCATCATCATCATATTCATCATCATCGTCACCATCAGCATCATCAACATTATCATCACTCCTCTCCCACCCCCGAACAGAAATCTGGGCTGGCACGGTGGCGGGCCCTGCCGCAAGCAGCTGGCTAAACCGATCCGCCACCGTGCCGCGAGGCACGAGTTGGAGTGTCTTCAGGTCCTCTAATGTCCTGTCCTCAGGGTTGACAATATCAAAGGCCCAGGCACCAAAGTCCTAGGGTTCCTGGGCTCCCAGCTTGCCTCCTGCGGTTCCCCGGCGCTTCCCGCATGACTTCTTCAGAGCCGCGGACGCCCCAAAACGAGCCAAGAGGGCACTGGGAGGCATCGGCCCTACAACCAAGGCACGGTGGTGGAATGAACTGAAGTCCAATCTACATTTCACCTGTCTGCCCATAGCTAGATTCGCCTTGAACTCCTGGTCAGAACGAGCTCTGGTTGAGGACGCGGGATGAGAGCGCACACTGGCAGTTCTCAGAGAGGTAGGAGATATGCCGAGTTGATCAACAAGCGTGGAGCGTTGGATCGCGTGGGAAGAGGTACGAGTGGGTTGCCATCCCCTGGACGCGGAATGGATCAATTCGGAGTGCCGAGACCGCTAATCGTCCCCCATCCCGCGTTTTCACCTTGTTGGAGCTTCCTGGGGGGTCCTCGTCGCCGCGGTTGGATTCGCCTCGAAAACCTGGTCCGAATGCGCCCTGGGTAGTGTCCGGGGAGTGGGGGTGTCGGTATTTTTTGTTGGGCCCCTCCCCCTCGCCCGAACCCCGCCCATGCCCTTTTCGCCCGAGGAGCGTGAGGACGTCGACAAAGAGCGAAGGGGCGGAGCACGAGGACAAAGGGGACGGAAGCACATGGAGAGCCACGTCTTTCCTCCTCTCTCTCTCTCGTTCCTCTCAATGTTTTTCTACGCCCCCTCTGTCGTCTCCTCTCTCCCCTCTCCTCCTCTGCCCACTCCTCCCACCCCCTCTCCTCCTCTGTCCTCCCCTCCTCTCTCCTATCTTATTCCTCTCTCCTTTTCGCCCACTCTCCCAGGAGGATGGATAGCAAGAGAACGCCCCCCCCATTGTGCCTGCCCTCCACCACCCCCAACCTCCCTGCCCCTCCCGGCGAACTCCCGTCCCAACCTCCCGTCTACCCTCTGACTCCCCCTCTTCAGCGCACGCCTCTTCAGCGCACCTACGCATTTCTGAACACATCCAACTCGCAGAAACGCAATCTTAAGCGGAACTCACACAGTGAAAACGGAAACTCGCACTAGAGGGGTGCAAGAACAATCTGTCTGAAAGGGTGGATGATGACATCAACGGGTCTCCTGCTCTCCACCGCCCCCTCACATCTCCACCATCCTCCAGGGAGACGGCTGGGACAGAGAGATACCGATCAAGAGCATCGTACGACCAACGCTTCCGATGTTGCGCTGGGGCTGTCGCCGAACGGTTTCTGGGGTCCAGGGCAGCGAATGTAAAATAACACCCGGGTCGCTTGCGATGCGACTTGTCCTGGGAGTTCGTCTTCGACTCGGCAATGTCTTGCCCGAACGCAGGGCCCCGAATCCGAACGTCGGAGGGTGCCTGGCACCCCAGGGGCCCGAATGTAGCATATTCCCCTCCCTCAGACGTGCTCTCAGAATCTCTCAAAACATTAGGACGCGAAAACATACGATGAGCCCCGGCCTGTGAGGGCCAGGATCCATCGGCCCCTCGGTGAAGCTCGCTGTGGGGCCACGAAGCGTTTGAGGAGAGTACCAACATGGTTTCGTGCCCCTCCCACCCCTCCAGGGAGGCCCCGCCTGAGCGAGGAGGGTATCGGAATACCATACTATTTACATGGTTTCGTGCCCCCCCCACACCTCCAGGGAGGCCCCGCCTGAGCGAGGAGGGTATCCGAAAACCATACTATTTACATGGTTTCGTGCCCCTCCCACCTCACTTGGGGCCTCGGTGGAGCTCCCCATGGGGCCACGGGCTGCGCCGAAGTGGGCGCGGTCACGCATACGGCTCCTGCCTCCGGGGCCCTCGGTGGAGCTCCACGTGGTGCCACAAAGCGTGTGAGCGGTGCGCCAAAATGGTGTGGAGAAGACCTGCGGATCTAGCCGCTGGGGCCAGAATCGAAGAACCATTTGGGGCCACGAAATGTGTGAGGGGTGCGCCAAAGTGGTTTGGAGAAGGCATGCGAACCTAGCCACTGGGGCCTCAGGTGGAGCCCCCCGTGGGGCCACGAAACGTGCGAGTAATGCGCCGAAACGGTGTGGACAAGGCATGCGCACCCAGCCACGGGGGCCGTAGATGGAGCTCCATGTGGGGCCACGGTACGTATGAGGGGTGCGTCAAGTTGGTGTGGAGAAGGCCAGCGAACCTGGCCGCTGGGGCCGTATGTGGAGCCCCCTTATGGAGCCAAGAAGCGTGTGAGGGGTGTGCCGAAGTAGAAATCACGGAGGGCAGAGGCAAAGCTAGGAGGAGGGGAAGGGGCAGCGGGAGGGAAGCAGACGCGGGGCGTTCTCCTGAACGCGAGGACGCAACACCCCAGGATGGCTGGGAACAAACTAACTGCATACACCTATACACTTCGGGAGCTCCGAGCGGCTTTCTTCGATCGGTGCTGGACCCCCCAGGTGGCGCCCCCGGCGCCGCCCCTGGCGCGCTCCGCGCGCAAGTGGGGGGAAGTCCAGCGCCGATCCAAACGATACCCTCGGAGCTCAGTAAAACATGCATGTTTATGCCGCGCATGTCTCTTCGAGAGATGCCCCAAGCGTTGCTCATGGGTACATCCCCGCCTCGGACTGCAGGCCGTGGGGGGGGGCGCCAGGCCCCCGTCCTCGCTGAAGTGGCTCGCCTGCAGCAGCGCCATTCGGCCCCGCGAGCGCTCGCGCTCGCGCGCCGCAGCGCGCGGCCCACCCCCCCGAGCGGCGCGCCGCCGAAGGCGCCACCGCGGCGCCGACTGGCGCGCCGCCGAGGGCGCCGCCGCGGCGCCGACCCCGCCCGACGCGGGGCCCTGTCTTGCGCGCCAGGCAGGGGGGAAGCCGCCGTCGCCGCCATCATCGCAACGGGAGGAGGCGACCTCTTCCTCCTCCTCCTCCTCCTTCTCCTCCTCCTCGTCCTCCTCCTCCTCGTCCTCCTCCTCCTCCTCCTCCTCCTCCTCCTTCTGCTCCTCCTGCTCCTCGTCTCCCTTTCCCCGTGCCCAGCTCCTTCTCCTCGCCCCTCCCGCCTGCTCCTGCTCCTCCTCGTCCTCCTGCTCCTCCCCCTCCTCCTCCTCCTCCTCCTGCTGCTCCTCCTCCTCCACCTCCTCCTCCTCTTCCTGCGCCATCTCTACCTCCAACTCCTACTGCCGTGTCCTCGACCTGGACCTGCCCATCCTCATCGTCCTCCTCCTCGGCCCAGCAGCTGGCATGCAGCGAGATCGAGCTCGTCCTGCCACTTCTGCCTCTCCTCCCTTCTCAATCCTTATGCTGCTCCGTCTCCATCTCCTCCTCGTCCTCCTCGCCATACTCCTGCTCTCGGCCCCTGGCCTGCGAGGAAGTCGAAAATGTGTTCCTCCTCCTCCTGCTCCTCCTCCTCCTCTTCCTCCCTGAATGTATCCTCTCACTCCTACTGCTCCCCCTGCTTCTCCTTCTCCTCCTCATCCCCCTCTTCCACGTCCAAAATCTTCCGCCTCTCGGCAACTGGACTCCAGCATAATCAGAACTCCGAGTCTCCTCCACGAATTCCTCATCCTTGTCCATCCCCTGGACGGCTTCACCTCATCCTGCTCCTCCTGGCCTCTGGCCTGCGGCGAACCATTAAAGGACCCCCCCCCTCCATCATGCCACCCTCCTCCTGTCAACTCCTCCTTCTCCTGCTCCGCCAGATTCCCTCTTCGAACCATCGCCCCTGCCGCCCCTGTTCGTCGCCCACGTCCATCTGCATTCAATCTGAATTCTGCCCCCCCCCTCTCTCCCTTAACGAGCATGTCCCGTCGTGCGCACGCCCCCCCCGCGTATCACAATAACCATGTGTGTCATATACTTATCATGCTGGGACGCTTTTACGCTTCAGAGTGGTGTTCCCAATGTAGCGCTGGCATCAGCTCAAGATCGGCGCTTTGGCCACGTCGCTGACACTGTAACTCTCGCCCCAGGGGGCCACATGGCCGGAAACGATTCATGACCCGTCGCTGTCGCCCCCTCCTTCCCCTCCTCCGCTTTGTGCAGATCCTCCTGCTCCGCCCTCCTCCGCCTTCTGCTCCTCCTGCTGCTCCTCCTCCTCCTCCTCCTCCTTCCTCCGCCTTCTGTTCCTCCTGCTCCTGCAGGCGCTGCTGCTGCTGCTGCCCCCAACCTGTCCTCCTCCTCCTCCTCCTCCTCCTCCTCCTCCTCCTTCCTCATCATCAGCATCATCATCATCACCACCACCATCATCAGCATCATCACCACCACCACAACCATCATCACCACCATCACCATCACCATCATCATCATCATCATCATCATCATCATCATCATCATCATCATCATCATCATCATCATCATCATCATCATCATCATCATCATCAGCATCATCACCACCATCATCATCAGCATCATCATCATCATCATCAGTATCATCATCATCATCATCATCATCAGTATCATCATCATCATCAGCATCATCATCATCATCAGCTTGATCATCATCAGCATCAACATCAGCATCTCCATCATCAACATCAGCATATCAGCTTCACCATCATCATCATCATCAGCAGCATCAGCATCATCATCAGCATCGTCATCATCAACACCACCACCACCACCATCATCATCATCATCATCATCATCATCATCAAACATTAGCATCATCATCATACTCATCATCATCACCATCATCATCACCACATCACCATCACATCACATCACATCACCATCATCATCATCATCATCATCATCATCATCATCATCATCATCATCATCATCATCATCATCATCATCATCGTCATCATCATCATCCGCCATCCTATTGTTCATCATCCTGCTCATCCGCCACCTCGAATGTACACATGGTGGGGATGGTTTCGGGACAAGCAGCTTCACGACAAGGAAAAGACAGATTCACGACAAGAAAGCCCACGTTCGCCGCCCACGTTCGGCGCCCACTTTCGGCGCCCACTTTCGCCGCCCATTTCCGCCACCCACTTTCGGCGCCCACTTTCGGCGCCCACTTTCGGCGCCCACTTTCGGCGCCCACTTTCGGCGCCCACTTTCGGCGCCCACTTTCGGCGCCCATTTCGGCGCCCACTTTCGGCGCCCACTTTCGCCGCCCACTTTCGGCGCCCACTTTCGGCGCCCACTTTCGGCGCCCACTTTCGGCGCCCACTTTCGGCGCCCACTTTCGGCGCCCACTTTCGGCGCCCACTTTCGGCGCCCACTTTCGGCGCCCACTCGGCGCCCACTTTCGGCGCCCACTTTCGGCGCCCACTTTCGGCGCCCACTTTCGGCGCCCACTTTCGGCGCCCACTTTCGGCGCCCACTTTCGGCGCCCACTTTCGGCGCCCACTTTCGGCGCCCACTTTCGGCGCCCACTTTCGGCGCCCACTTTCGGCGCCCACTTTCGGCCCACTTTCGGCCCACTTTCGCCGCCCACTTTCGGCCCACTTTCGGCGCCCACTTTCGGCGCCCACTTTCGGCGCCCACTTTCGGCGCCCACTTTCGGCGCCCACTTTCGGCGCCCACTTTCGGCGCCCACTTTCGGCGCCCACTTTCGGCGCCCACTTTTTCCGGCCCACACTTTCGGCGCCCACTTTCGGCGCCCACTTTCGGCGCCCACTTTCGGCGCCCACTTTCGGCGCCCACTTTCGGCGCCCACTTTTTCGGCGCCCACTTTCGGCGCCCACTTTCGCCGCCCACTTTCGCCGCCCACTTTCGGCGCCCACTTTCGGCGCCCACTTTCGCCGCCCACATTCGCCGCCCACGTTCGCCGCCAAGTTTCGGCGCCCACTTTCGGCGACCACTTTCGGCGCCCACTGTCGGCGCCCACTTTCGCCGCCCACTTTCGGCGCCCACTTTCGCCGCCCACTTTCGCCGCCCACTTTCGCCGCCCACTTTCGCCGCCCACTTTCACTCACCGCCCACGTTCGCCGCCAAGTTTCGGCGCCCACTTTCGGCGGCCACTTTCGGCGCCCACCTTCGCCGCCCACTTTCGCCGCCCACTTTCGGCGCCCACTTTCGCCGCCCACTTTCGCCGCGCGCCGAAAGTGGGCGCCGAAAGTGGGCGCCGAAAGTGGGCGGCGAAAGTGGGCGCCGAAAATGCTTGTCGTGAATAAGCCGTGCCTTGTCGTGTTTCAGTTTTCTCTTGTCGTGTTTCAGTTTTCCTAGTCGTGAGAACACCCGAACTTTGAATGTACACGGCTCCCATTTCTGATTGCGCATCTCTTGACGGAGTCCTTCGGGAGATCCGGGTCCGCCAGGAGACCCCTCGGCGGATGGAGGAGGAAGAGTCAGCGAAGTGGGCAGGGGAGGGCCGCGTGGGAGCGGGAGAATCTCAGATTTGGCGCCAGCGCACCCAGCTTGCCCCCGCCCCCCCGCCGCCCCCCTCTCCAGTCCCCATATGGCCTCTGTGCGAGGCGCGTGTCGCGCCCAAGCGTCAGGTAGCTGCTCTGCCCCCATCCTTGCCCTCAGGGCCACAATTCAAGTCAGCCTCATCGCTGGGCTTCGGCAGCACGCAGTCGCAGTGCCCGACTCGACTAATAAGACGCCTCCGTCGTCTTGGCCTTCACGCCTCCCAAAGGAAGCAAAAAGGTGCCGCTACTCGCTACTTCCCCAGACCGCTCCAGGGGCGCGTCCTGACGAGGATTCCGCGGCGAATGCGGCCGTGGAGACGAGGGAAGGGCAGCGGTGTCGGTTTGGAGTCAGGCGAGGGGGGACTGAACTGGATGGCCCCCGTCAAGCGAAGGGATCACGGCAAACCCGTTCAAAATCGCTCCCCAGACTCCGCCTGGGCTGCTTGGTTACCCCGTTTTTGACGGTGCCTGGGCCCGAAAACGGCCCCCAAGGCGGACAAGGCCAAAGACCATTTCGAATCCAGGACCTCGAACCTGCCCCCCCCCCCCTTCCTGCTGGCCGGAACCAATACACCCTGCGAAATGCTTAAGAAATCATGGGTTAAGAAATTCATAGTCTCAGAACTTGAACAAAAACCCAAGATTTCCATCAAGATCTTAAGATTTGCATGGAAACGTTAAGAATAATCGAGACTCTGGCCGAAAACTTAAGTTTTCTTAAGCATCGCCTGAGGTGTACTGGGCCACCTCGGACCCCCCGCCGGCGCCAAGTGCCAAGATCCTCTTCCTCCTCTGGCACGTCCCCCTTCCCCCCGTCCCCCTCCCCCTGCCAAGTCCCGCGCGCACGCTCCACTCAGAGGCCCCGCGCGCGCGCGGCGGGAGCGCGCGACGTGCGCCGGGCCGGCCGCGAAAACGCTCGCGCGCGCGCGCGAAGAGGCACTCCGTCGGGAGCACGCGCTCCTCGTCCTCGTCGCCCATCGGTCTGGCGGCGGAGGGGCGGCGGGAGGCTCTCGAGAGGGAGCGCCGAAGAAGGCACGCAGGGTCTGTCCCTGGCCACGGCGAGCCTCGACCACGAGCAGGCCACAGGCCCCTCTTGCCTGGATCTGACGCCAACGCCCCCAGCGTGTGTCAGGCAGCCTGACGCGTTGGGCGACTTGGGCCTTCTGCCCCCCCCCCCCCTGGCTCAGGTGGGGAGGGGGCGAGGACGAAGCCCAGGAGCGAGAATATGGTTGGCTCTTGCACGCAGGGGTCGTCTGCACACCACCACCCGTGCCTGGACAGGGCCATCCTGGGCCCTGGGATCATGTACAGGTCATACTTGAAGAGGAGGCCTGCACACA